TCACTCCACTCTACTCCCAACATAAAGCCAAGACATCTGCTCCTGTCACTCCACTCCCAACATAGTGCCAAGATCTCCGCTCCCATCACTCCACTCCCAACATAGTGCCAAGATGTCCGCTCCCGTCACACCACTTTACTCCCAACATAGTGCCAAAATGTCCACTCCCATCACTCTACTTTACTCCCAACATAGTGTCAAGACATCCGCTCCTGTCACTCCACTTTAATCCCAACATAGTGCCAAGATGTCTGCTCACGTCACTCTAATTTACTCCCAACATAGTGCCAAGATGTCTGCTCCCATCACTCCACTTTAATCCCAACATAGTGCCAAGATGTCTGCTCCCGTCACTCTACTTTACTCCCAACATAGTGCCAAGACGTCCGCTCCTGTCACTCCACTCTACTCCCAACACAGAGCCAAGACGTCCGCTCCTGTCGCTCCACTGTACTCCCAACATAGAGCCAAGACGTCCACTCCTGTCACTCCACTCCCAACATAGAGCCAAGACGTCCGCTCCTGTCACTCCACTCTACTCACAACATAGAGCCAAGATGTCCACTCCTGTCACTCCACTTCTAACATAGAGCCAAGACGTCCGATCCTGTCACTCCACTCTACTCCCAACACAGAGCCAAGACGTCTGCTCCTGTCACTCCACTCTACTCCCAACACAGAGCCAAGACGTCCGCTCCTGTCACTCCACTCTACTCCCAACATAGAGCCAAGATGTCCGCTCCTGTCACTCCACTCTACTCCCAACACAAAGCCAAGACGTCCGCTCCTGTCACTCCACTCTACTCCCAACACAGAGCCAAGACGTCTGCTCTTGTCACTCCACTTCCAACACAGTGCCAAGACGTCCGCTCCTGTCACTCCACTGTACTCCCAACATAGAGCCAAGACGTCCGCTCCTGTCACTCCACTCCCAACATAGAGCAAAGACGTCTGCTCCTGTCACTCCACTCTACTCCCAACATAGAGCCAAGATGTCCACTCCTGTCACTCCACTCTACTCCCAACATAGAGCCAAGATGTCCACTCCTGTCACTCCACTCTACTCCCAACATAGAGCCAAGATGTCCACTCCTGTCACTCCACTCTACTCCCAACATAGAGCCAAGATGTCCACTCCTGTCACTCCACTCTACTCCCAACATAGAGCCAAGATGTCCACTCCTGTCACTCCACTCTACTCCCAACATAGAGCCAAGACGTCCGCTCCTGTCACTCCACTCCCAACATAAACCCCATGAGCTCTGTGTTTCCCAGGCAATGACCCTCTAATATTTCCTGTAGTTTGACCTCCATATATCAGACTGATTAAAAAAAAAACATGGACGTGCACACACAAAAATCAGTTTATGGAGCAAGACCGAAGCCCAGAAGTGGACGACTCACTTGAACTTTAGGCTGGTGTTTCATGAATGCGAAGAAGAAGAAAAAGTACAGTTGGTTAAAGTGAAGAAGAAAAAAAAAAATGAAGTGTTTGCTGATATGTGACTGCATTTCACAAGTTTTTTTTTTCTATAATTTAATATAAGGTAACTGTGGCCACACTTGCAACTGCTGTGCTTCAGCCTGTAGTGTTGTCTAGTCTCTGTGAACATTCTGTCTGGTGTCTTTCAATGCTTTCAGATTCTGATATCTCTACTGCTGCTGCTGCAGGATCTGCTCAGATATCATACAATATTTCCTCCAAATGACAGTTGACATAAACTTGCATTTACTATTCTTGTGTCCTCCCTAGTGCCATCCGTCCACCAGACCTGTATGTGGAACTTAGAATCTGTTCTCATATCTCCCATAGTCCCCACTGTGAACACTATCGGCATCAGTCTCCCTCTCTGCCGGCCCCTCCACTGTCTCTGGGGGAAATTCCTCCATAGGATCACCACGGAAACCTGGCTCTGTATCAGGGAAGAAGGTCATGGTGCTCCGTGGACTGGCCTGTCTACTGTCTGTGTACCGTGGACTCAGCATGCTGGAGAGGTCTCGTGTGGGGATCTCCCGTCTGGATGATGACACAGATATGATGCCTAGAATGTCTGGATCACTGCCCTGTCTAGATCTGGCTGGACTTCGAGCACTTTGATCGTACCTCACCGGGCTTAAACTTCTCACATATGGGTCATCTATCTCATAACGAGAAGGACTGTGATGTCCTCGGAAATATCGTGATGATCCATACTGGTCACCATCGAATCGTACAGGACTCATACTTCTGAGTGTTCGTTGTCTCTCTAGACGGTCGTAACGTGAGGAACTTCCCTGTCTGAAGACAGTCAAACCTGAAAACGTACAAATACATCATGACAGAATCTGATAAGAGTGGATGGATATATGGGTTTGTGGATCCATGTTGGCTGTGTGTGTAGTATAAGGATAGTGTGGCTGCAAATATGAGGGCATGTTAATGCCTATATGGTGTGTGTGTGTGTGTATATATATTTAGTGTGGGTGTACTTGTCTTTGTTGGGTGTATAAGTTAGTAAGTTAGTTAGTTAGTCTTTCCTCTTGTGTCGAGTGCGGCACATAGGGCAGAGGTTTGACTCTCCATGCATGGCGGTTCGTTGCAATCTGTTGTAGGTCTTGGATGTTTGAGTGGCCCATGAGCGAGCCTTCCCTGATGATAGTTCTATGTAGGGTTTCCTTTGGTCTTCCACGAGATCTTTTCCCCTGTGGTGTCCAAATGAGGGCTTGGTAAGGAAATTTCTCCATTCTAAGGGCGTGGCCGACATAGTTCCAGCGGCGTTTTCGTATAAAATTAGACACATACTCTTGCCTGGATTCTTGCCTTATTTGTGTATTGGTTCGGAAATTTGACCATTTGAAATTTAATATTCTTCTAAGGCAATTATTTTCGAAACTGTCTAATTTTGTGTCTAGAGTTTTCGTTAATTTCCAGCTCTCGCATCCATAGGTTAGTACTGGAATCACACAAGAATTGAAGATCTTGAGTTTTGTGTGTTTGCTAAGTGTCTTTGATTTCCAGATGTTGGACAGTTTATTGAAGGCACTAGATGCCACTGCTATTCTAAAAGGTATTTCTGGTGCGGTATCTCCTGTAGATGACATCTTGCTCCCTAGATAAGTGAAACTGTTGACTTTTTCAAGGCTGTTGTTGTTCAGCGTGATATCAACTGAACTGTTGGTAAGGTTTAGAATTTTTGTTTTTGCGGTGTTAATTTGGAGTCCAATTTGTTCTGAGAAATTCTGGAGTCGATTAATTTTTTCTTGGGCGTCTGTGTGTTCTGAACTCAGGAGTGCTATGTCGTCGGCGAAGTCTAGGTCTTCCAGAATTTTGTCAACCCATGTAATGCCTAAATTTGCGTTATTTATGCACTTGCGCATGACCCAGTTGATTGCTATACCAAAAAGCATCGGCGATAGGACACAGCCTTGCTTCACTCCTGTTTCCACCGGGAACCAGTCAGAATTGCCGGAATCAGTTCTTACACAGCATCGTGTTTCATTATAAAAAGATTTTATGATGTTGAAATATTTGATGGGGAAACCATAGATGTTAAGCAATTTTCAGAGTGTTGGACGATGGATACTGTCGAAGGCTTTTTGGAAGTCGACAAAGCTGATGATTCGTTCTAATCTTCGTTCTAAGGATCACTTTTATTGTACAAGAACATCAGGGATTCAGTCTCAGCTCACAGAACCTCCAGGCTGACTTCTGCACAGCACAGACACACACACCAGCAATGCTAGTTTGTGTTTGGGTATTAATTGTTGTGGAATTGTGCCCATGTGGAAGTGCTGACACTGCTGTGGTCTGGTCTATATTCACCTTGCTCTGTGTGTTTCCATCTGACCTGGCATTCTGACAAATCTCAGTCCAAGGTGGTTCTCACTTGAACATTATCCTTCAAAAAGGGAAAATACAGTTTCAAGGCAGGAGAAATGCTAGCAACAGCTGCAATAGAGGAATAATATACTTGGCAGATTGTATTTGTTCTCTCCTATCCTATAGTGTTTTCATGAGCACTATATGTAAATGTACAACAGACACTGCCCTCTGGCTAAGTAGTCTGGACATAGGATCCACTAGCCCAGGATAAGGGAGCAACAGGCTTTCCTCACATACAAAGACATGAATCATGCCTGAAGCTAACTTTCTAGGCTCCACAACCTGTCTACTGTCATTATGTGCTCACTGGGTGTTTGTGATTGCATCTCATGGTCTTGCAGCTTGCACTGTAGGACAGTCCTAAGTTCAATAAACAGGCAAACATTCAAACCTTCAAATAAATGCATTTCTTGATTGCACAGCCTCCTTCTTCCTCTTGAAGACCATAACATGTGGTGTTGGTAGTCATGTCTGTCTACAGCCTTCTAACAATTATGAGACATGCCACGATGTCTCTCTCTTGGTCTCTCTATCTGAAACATCATGATGTACCCCAGCATTTCTCCTTCAGCCTCAGAGATTCCATCAATCTATCGCTTGCATGGTCGACCTGTACATTTCTGCTTCCATTATGTCTAAGTGACAGGATTCTCTGGTAGTTCTCTTGACACATGTCCAGATCAGACGATCTCTTGATACTGGTTCTGTTCCCACTTGTTCCCTGATGTGGATATTTGTGTGTGTGGGTCTTGTGCTGTCCACACCTGGCACTAATAAGACAATGTACTGTTCTAAACACTGCTCTTCTGGTGCCAATAGTTACATGTTTGTCTCTGTGCTCTGTCTCCTCCACCGGATGACATGTTTCCTAGATACTTGAAGTCTTTTGCCTGCTTGAGTGGTTCTTCTGTTTCTGCAGCTGCCATAACTTCTGTTGTGTTTCATATCGCTTGTATTTCAACATGCAGTCTGCTCAAACTGCAATGGCTGTAGTGACCAACATTGATGTCACGTTTGCAAGGTTACAGTCTCCTCACTATTGACTCTATGCTCTATTTTGGCACTGACCTCATGTGCTTCTCTGAACTAACTCACTAACTGACACATCAACCAAGTAGACCTCACAAGCAGAACTTACCACCTCCGTGGTCGCCCATGCTTGACCTCCGACTGTCCAGGTAGGCTAGCCGGCTGGCATGGTCAGAGAGACTTGGTCTGGAGCCAATCTCTGCCAATGTTGGTCGACTCCCCTGCTCCAAGCGCCCATCAGTGATGCCTGAATGTCTCATTGACTCACTCACTCTGGCAGCCAAATCAGCTAATTAATAAACACACAAATAAACACATTCTGTATTCATGTATTGTTTTGCTCATTTTAAAACTGCAATATTGAGAGCTCAGTATTTGGAGTCTACATATTGCATTGTTGAAGACCAGTTATTGTGAATTCTGTCTATCCTGTCTAGCTACAGATGTTAAGTACCATTTTTGTAGCAGAATTTTTACACATTTACACAGTTCTGAGGCCCCACTGTGAAGACAACAACAACAGAAACACTGCCTCCCCAGAAAGCATGTCGCAGCAGTCACATGACTAGGGGGCTTAATCCAAAGTTTAAGTGCATCTGCCCGCGAGGCAAGGAACAAACACTCCGCACACAAATATTTAAGTTCCGTCAAACAGATGTGCACACAACACTCAGGTTCTGGAACAAGACTAAAGTCTAGATAGAGGTGGGGTAGACAAACCACCAAAACTTTCCACTGGAGTTTACAGCTCATGAACACAAAGAAGACAAACTGGCAATTCTGTTGAACTGTACTGTTAGAATGTGTGTACATGTGTACACTGAATGTAAATGTGTGTACTAAATGTAAATACCTTCTGTAACATAAGCATGCATATTCACAAGTCACCATGACTTGTGAATTTGACTTCAGGTCAAAATGGACGTTAGGCAGCAGCATTGTTCGAAACAGAGGCAAATTTTTTGCTTCTGCCGGTTGGTGGCCGATGCATTTTTGTTCCATTTGTAGACTGGATATAGTTTCGTCACCCAGCTTCTGAGCTGAATTCATGGCGTGACCCTGTGAGCTGCGGATTGCATTTGGAATGTTTTTTCGACTGTGACCAACGTGTTGGTGTGAATTGTAGATTCAGAAAATGGCGCGATGCTTGTCGTGGAGTGTTGTGGTGCCCGTATGTGATTAAAATTGATCGCGTGGGCAACTGCTGATCTGTTGGCGACTTCTGCTACCATCAATGATGAACTGCAATTCTAATACTGTGATAAACATTCTGTATGTTTTTCGTTGGCACAGGAGCGGAGCAAAGATGGGGTGACCTGTTTGCTATGAAGCTGAAACTAAGACTACCAGACCAGACCAGACCAGATTCACAAGTTTTACTTATTCCAGTTGAATACAGTGATTACTGACACCCTCTCCCTATTCCAGTTGTTCAACAAAAATTCCAAACGATCCTTTTTCAGGAGCCCGGAGGCCTGCTATATGAAGGAAGGTTCCTTGGCTGTCTTATTTGGTTTCCTACTTGTTAATCAACATAGAACTGGTACTATTAGCCATCGGACGTTGGGGTTCATACTGAGGGGAGGATCTGAGCACCTATGGACATGTCCGGAGTGCAATGAGGATAACCCAACTAACTAACTAACTAACTAACTAATTTGGTTTCCTATTCTTTGTGGTGTGAAGTCACACCTGATATTCCTGTTCTCTTTGTCTTCCTAAGTCCGGTATGGTGCTTGGGGTTTTGGGTCTGGTCTGGTCCTGACACCCTCTGCCATCGTGGTTGTTATTTAAACTTCACAGATTCAAATTGTCAGCTGAAATCATTAGTGTTTCTTGAAATGCTGACATCTGCTGGTTTGTATAACTGAGTACTAGAAATGACAGACACTGTTTGTGTTCTAGAAATGACAGACACTGTTTGTGTTCTAGAAATGACAGACACTGTTTGTGTTCTAGAAATGACAGACACTGTTTGTGTTCTAGAAATGACAGACATTGTTTGTGTTCTAGAAATGACAGACACTGTTTGTGTTCTAGAAATGACAGACACTGTTTGTGTTCTAGAAATGACAGACACTGTTTGTGTTCTAGAAATGCCAGACACTGTTTGTGTTCTAGAAATGACAGACATTGTTTGTGTTATAGAAATGACAAACACTGTTTGTGTTCAAGAAATGACAAACACTGTTTGTGTTCAGGAAATGTTTGTGTTCTAGATGGTATTTGTTTTGGTAACAGTCATTATTTCTGTAAATTTCTGAGTATTACTTGATGAGAACAACAATGCTATCACAGTGTCTGGTGTACACAGATCTGGTGCAACAACCACTGACCAATGGACGGCCGATGTTGGGTGTAGTCAGTAGAACTCTGCCGTCTGTGACCCTGGACAGAGCTGATCTGCATCAGCCGGGAGTCGTCTGTGGCCAGAGTCTGTGATTTCCCAACATCACTTGCATCTTGGTCTGGAGGGCCCGGCAGACGGGCCCGCCGTCTGAAGGAGCTCAGACGATGCTTCTGTTCCCATTGTTTCTGTTTCAGCCGTTCTTCTCGTCTCTTTTTCTCCAGTTCCTGAAATAAATTCAGAAATGGCTCAAGTTTCAGTAGAAATCTTCTTGCCAACTCTGTGTTATCAGACCTGGACAATAACATAAATCTTCTTGCCAACTCTGTGTTATCAGTGCCAGACCTGAACAATAACATAAATCTTCTTGCCAACTCTGTGTTATCAGTGCCAGACCTGAACAATAACATAAATCTTCTTGCCAACTCTGTGTTATCAGACCTGGACAATAACATAAATCTTCTTGCCAACTCTGTGTTATCAGTGCCAGACCTGGACAATAACATAAATCTTCTTGCCAACTCTGTGTTATCAGACCTGGACAATAACATAAATCTTCTTGCCAACTCTGTGTTATCAGTGCCAGACCTGGACAATAACATAAATCTTCTTGCCAACTCTGTGTTATCAGTGCCAGACCTGGACAATAACATAAATCTTCTTGCCAACTCTGTGTTATCAGTGCCCAGACCTGGACAATAACAGAAGAAAAGAACACTTACATATTCCTGTGAAGATCTCTCAAGATAAACAAGAAGACAAACAGAAACAATGAAAGCCACAGGGAAATGGATGTGGCAACAGTACTGAATTTCATCAGAAGACAAAATGTGAAATGGTTTGGCCATGTAATGGGGATATCAGTAGACAGTATACCACAGCAAGCAATGATGTAGAAACCAGGTGGAAAGGGAAGAAAAGGCTGACCATGCAAATCAATGGACAGAGGGAATTACAGAGTCCCTGGTAATTCCCCCTTTATGAAGCAGACAATCGGGCTCTTTCCCACAAATTGTACTTCACTGCAAGGTACAGGAGGACCAAGATGAGATGAGATGATGGAACATCTAGGAAACAAACACATTTGCCATTTTAAATTCAGCAGTGGCGTAGAAAGAAAAAACCAGTTTTACGAGAGAAGAGACAGAGGCTGACCAGCTTCTAGGTGGACATACATCAGGCATGGAAAGTGATGACAACTGCAAACAAGTGAGTTCAGATGGTCTTTGATGGTAGAGACATTCAGTCAATGACCTACTAGGGCACTTCCAGAGTTCCTGCCCACCATAGCTTCCTTCTGTTCATATCTAGGGCTTCTCAGCCTTGCAGGACCTGGGCAACAGACACAAAGTCTGATGGCTCCACAAGTGGCAGTCACTGATGCTACAGACAAGAAGTGAAGCCTGTCAAACACTGTTCACTGTGTACCACTACACTCATTCAGTCACCATTAGCAGTCCCTCTGCTGACTTAGTCTCCATGGCCAACACCCTGGAGTCATTCTGGCAGCTTTCACTGTGTGGAAACATGCTTGCATAGATCTGTGTTCTATGAGGTACTTCCTGACTGGGGCTGGCAGTATGATCTCTACCTCCAGTAGCTAAACCTGACAGGTGTGCAACAAGTCAAGTCACATGACAAAACATTTCACAGTTTAGTGTGGACAGACATCAGTTATTCAATCAACCAATCAGGTGCCATCTTCACTGGATGGATCTAACCTCCTCAGCCCTGAACTGCCTAGCCATCTCTTGATGTTATCCAATTTGTATCACTGTCTGCCTCATGCTCAAATGCTTTTAACTTTTTCTCCAACACAGTTTTAGTAAGTGTCATGTCTTTTAATATAGAAACATGTTATTTTCACTCCTAGTCTTTTCAGCACCTCTGAAATTGATTGTTTCTTTTTCCATAAACCGATTCAGATCCATCTTCTCTGTGTGGCATCTGGGTTCCCCATTGTAGAGCAGTACCACAGCTTCCCTAACAAGCATGTCTACTAATCAGAGCTGTTTCCTCCCAAACTGGACTTGATCTGCCTGAGAGGCCAGGAACCTGTAGTCTGCAGGAAATAAGCCAGATTGTGTGAATGCACAACTCAAAGTGGACAAACTACCAGAACATTCAGCTGGAGTTTACAGCTGGTGAAAGTGAAGAAGAAGATATCCATATCCCAGAGACAATATAATTTTGAAACTGTTTGTTCATCATCTAAGTCTCTTTTCTTTGCCATGTTCACCGGTGCTTGGAAGTCAGAAGTCAGAGCACATCTGCCCGTGATGCAGAGAATGGCAAAAGCCAGAAAAACGGATGTACACGCAAAACTCAGGTCCAGGTAAAAGCCAACAAGTCCAAATAGACAAACAACCGGGACCTACCGCTGGAATTTACAGATGGTGAATGAAGAAGAAGAAGAAGTTCCTACAGCATGAACCTGAAGAATGTTGAATGAATGTTGAATGTTGTTGTTGTTAATCTGATTTGATATCACAGCAGTAGGGACACTCCCATAAGTGCACTCCCCCCATCTTTAGCAGCAAGCAAAGCGTTCCATTTCCGACGGCACCTGTAACCGTCTGATTGTATATACATCTCATCCTTGCCCTGAGTGTTGAGGGTCAGCCAGAGCCCCTGGTAACTCCTTGCAGCGCCATTCTCCTTAGACCGTAATAATCTATCTGCGCTATCTGCACCTCTACACTGTTCACTGATTCCCAAAGGGCCCTCACAAAATCTAGCTTTTTATATATCAATTCACCACCAAGTGGTGCAGAGACCGCCAGTCTGTCTGCCTGCTCATTTCCCAACACACCGGCATTACCTGGAGAAAATATCCAAAGTATGCTTACTACCTGAACCTAAAGAGATGACTACAAACACCAGTGACTGACCTCAACTTTCTGCTTCTCCACAATGCTGGTCACTTGTCCCAGGAGATCGTCCAGTTTGGTCTCAGTGGCATCTTTACCCATGGAGGCCAGCGAGAGGGCTCGGTCCAAGGGGAAGAAATCATAGTTCTCCTTTCCAAGCTGGCAATGCAACAGATAAATTGTCACTCTTACATTGTCATTCTTACCTCTTACATTGTCATTCTCTTTCCTCTTACATTGTCATTCTCTCCTCTTACATTGTCAGTCTTAAGTCTTACATTGTCATTCTCTTTCCTCTTACATTGTCATTCTCTTTCCTCTTACATTGTCATTCTCTTTCCTCTTACATTGTCATTCTCTTTCCTCTTACATTCTCACTCTCTTTCCTCTTACATTGTCAGTCTTAAGTCTTACATTGTCATTCTCTTTCCTCTTACATTGTCATTCTCTTTCCTCTTACATTGTCATTCTCTTTCCTCTTACATTGTCATTCTCTTTCCTCTTACATTGTCACTCTTTTTCCTCTTACATTGTCATTCTCTTTCCTCTTCTATTGTCACTCTCTTTACTCTTACACTGTCATTTTCTTTTCTCTCACATTGTCACTCTCTCTTTCCTCTTACATTGTCATTCTCTGTCCTCTTACATTGTCATTCTCTTTCCTCTTACATTGTCATTCTCTCTCCTCTTACATTGTCACTCTCTTACCTCTTACATTGTGATTTTCTTTTCTCTCACATTGTCACTCTCTTTCCTCTTACATTGTCATTCTCTGTCCTCTTACATTGTCATTCTATTTCCTCTTACATTGCCATTCTTCCCTTTTACATTGTCATTCTCTTTCCTTTTACAATGTAACTCTCTTCCCTCTTACATTGTCATTCTTTCCTTCTTACAGTCTAGTCATTCTCTTTCCTTTTACACTGTAACTCTCTTCCCTCTTATATCGTCATTCTTTCCTTCTTACAGTCAAGTCATTCTCTTTCCTTTTACAATGTAACTCTCTTCCCTCTTACATTGTCATTCTTTCCTTCTTACAGTCAAGTCATTCTCTTTCCTTTAACACTGTAACTGTCTTCCCTCTTACATTGTCATTCTTTCCTCTTATTTATTTTAATCTGCTTCTTTCATCCATTTTTTTTTTAAAATTTGTTCTTATTTAACTACCTTTTACATCGTACTAGTGATGCGCGCCCCCCCCCCTCTCCCCTCCCTTCTCTTCCTCTCCCCAAATGGGGACCTCTCAGATTCAGACATTATGGCAGTATTTCACAATAACTCAATGATTCATAACAAGTCAGTACTGAACTATTATTACCCGACTCAATCACATTCTTGAAGTCAAACATTCCTGACATTTTCCCCCACGATAGAACATTCATGACATTTTCCCCCACGATAGAACATTCATGACATTTTCCCCCACGATAGAACATTCCTGACATTTTCCCCCACGATAGAAAATTCATGACATTTTCCCCCACATTAGAACATTCATGACATTTTCCCCCACAATAGAACATTCATGACATTTTCCCCCACGATAGAACATTCATGACATTTTCCCCCACGATTGAACATTCATGACATTTTCCCCCACGATAGAACATTCATGACATTTTCCCCCACGATGGAACATTCATGACATTTTCCCCCACGATAGAACATTCATGACATTTTCCCCCACAATAGAACATTCATGACATTTTCCCCCACGATAGAACATTCATGACATTTTCCCCCACGATAGAACATTCATGACATTTTCCACAAGGATAGCACATTCATGACATTTTCCCCCACAATAGAACATTCATGACATTTTCCCCAAGGATAGCACATTCATGACATTTTCCCCCACGATAGAACATTTATGACATTTTCCCCCACGATAGAACATTCATGACATTTTCCCCCACGATAGAACATTCATGACATTTTCCCCAAGGAAAGCACATTCATGACATTTTCCCCCACGATAGAACATTCATGACATTTTCAAGCACATCATTCCTCACAAAGTAAACATTATCTAAGTATACCCTATCTCAATCAATAAAAAAATGTATTTTATAGTAAAGACATCATTCATTCAATTTATCTGACATGTCATAAAATATCAATCATGCATATCATTCATACTCCATAAAACTTTACTCATACACCCCATTCCATACTTGAAACAAGACAAGCAAATCACTGTACAATAACAAAACATACTTCATCATATTATCCGACAGAAAACATCAGTGAGGCACATCATTCAACAATTCATAACACAAACATTATTGTCCTGCAGGTTGAGGCAGCCTGACATGGGTACCAGGAAATGTCCGGAGAGTGAAGTTGGCCAGCGGATCATGACGACATCACCCACTGAAGCCTGGCTGGTCTATGTTTAGCATCATATGCTTCTTGTAACAGTCTAAACACAAACTAGTTACAGAAGATTTCAGTGAGTAGGAGCAGACATGCACAGAGAAGACATGGATGAGAGCCACAACTGACCAGCTTGAAGACAAACATCTCTAGGGCTGTGTAGTCGTTGATCTTGGTGCCGTTGAGGTGGATGAAGAAGAAAATATACGACCACATGTTGTGTTCATGGCGAACGTGGTGATCAAAGCCCTGTTCACAAAAAACAACAATCAAGGCCATTGAAATAAATACACAGCTGCATGTTAGCTAAACCTGAATTATGTGTATATAGCAGGTAATCTGTGGAGTTGGAGTTTAGAAGAGACATGTAGACAGAGATCTAGTGCATACTTGATAACTACTCGCAGCCTTCGACGCCAGATTTCAGCATTGTTTGTACTGTGTAGCCTCTTGTTTTCTATTGCATTCAAGTGCTAGAACTTTATGAGGTGCTCCCAAGCATGACAGATAAAATCATCCATCTGTTTTGCTTATTTCTTAGTGTAGTCCAACCCCAGTCTTGTCCTTGTATCATAATTCCTGGCTTGTTTCTTCATACCCTATTGTAACCATCATCCAAGTCCCATGGGGCCAGGTGTTGTTGAGTCACCAGCTGCTGATCAGTTGCCCCCACCTGTGGCTCAGTTGCCCACCAACAAACTGGGTTTTGTGTTTCTGGACTGTCCAGTCAGCAGAATTCTGTATCCGGGTCTTTTTTGGTCTCCGTTTTCCTGTAATATTGTTTTATGGAGCCTGGTAGATGTGGTTATATGCCCAGGCCATTTGCCAGCTTTTGATTGCAAGGTCAGGTATTCTTATCTGACTCTGTCAGAACACACTGACAAACTTTCCCAGCTTTTGATTGCAAGGTCAGGTATTCTTATCTGACTCTGTCAGAACACACTGACAAACTTTCCCAGCTCTTGATTGCAAGGTCAGGTATTCTTATCTGACTCTGTCAGAACACACTGACAAACTTTCCCAGCTCTTGATTGCAAGGTCAGGTATTCTTATCTGACTCTGTCAGAACACACTGACAAACTTTCCCAGCTTTTGATTGCAGGGTCAGGTATTCTTATCTGACTCTGTCAGAACACACTGACAAACTTTCCCAGCTTTTGATTGCAGGGTCAGGTATTCTTATCTGACTCTGTCAGAACAAACTGACAAACAAGTGGCATTCAATATGCAGATAACAAAATGTCAGATCAATGAAGACTAAATGTTTACAAGAACAATGCAGTGAAACAGATGATACTAGACACAGAAAACAATGCAGTGAAACAGATGATACTAGACACAGAAAAGCACTGTGAACTTGAAATATTATGTACAAACTGTGTCTGACCAGAACAAACGTATCAACAACATGTTTGTGAAAGGTTTCTAAGCAACGGAAGAAAGAAAAGCAGCGGGCAAACTAAGTAGGAGGAGGACAAAAATCAAGACAGGATGGTTGAGATGGGAAGAAGGCAAGGAATGGACCACACTGACCTTAGATGAGTAGCAAGATGGCAGAGAAAAATGATATATGGTTAGGTATAAACAGAAGACAGTAGGATAAATAAAATATGAGGAAAAATAGCAAAATAGCAACATAAAAATTATCTTGTCAAAAACACGGAGACAAAGAGGCAGATAAAAGAAAGAGACAAGAGGCAAGAAGGAAGTTGTATTATGATCTTGGTCAGTTGCTTCAAGCACTTGTTCTTAAGTCATTATAATGTTTGCCAGCTTACTCAGCGTACTCCATGGAAACTTGATTTCTCTACTTTAAAAGTCTTTTTTCTTCCTGTAGCCTTGTTGGTTCCAGGACAAAACAATTCTAGTTATGCTATGATGCCCAACAGAACTGCTAACAGGCTGACAAATGAAGCTGAATAAATACGCTGGAGAAACAATCTTACCTTGCCATGGTGCTCAAAGTCGTAGGAGTTTCTGCTGCAGATAAAGCAGGTATCCCTCATGTCTGACTCGGCCGTCCACTGATGAAGATATGCTTATTGATTATCATCTATAAGATTTCCTCTAATAAAGATTCTTTAAAATATATCAAGACATTATCTCCCACATGGCGGATTAATTACCTTCACTCTTTTAGTACCAGAAAAAAGGATGCTAGTGGAGACATATCCATGACTAAATTTGTCAATGCATTAATGTAATTTACTGTGGTAGTGATAACTGGACAATCCAGATTTCTTGAGTGTGTGACGACCAAATACAAAATGTGTGAGAACGTATTAAGCTATGGAGGGGATTCAACAGATAGAGTGATTCACACACCCTGCGTTGTTTGGGATTTAGTAGTGAAATACTCAAAGTGGTTATAAACATGTGATCAGGACAGTGTCCTCAGAGGCCAGCTTCAGTGAGGTAACATTACCATATAGAACCTGTGGTGTATCACCTGCAGTGAGGTAACATGACCATATAGAACCTGTGTTGTATCACCTGCAGTGAGGTAACATGACCATTTAGAACCTGTATTGTATCAGCTTCAGTGAGGTAACATAACCATATAGAACCTGTGTTGTATCACCTGCAGTGAGGTAACATGACCATATAGAACCTGTGATGTATCACTTGCAGTGAGGTAACATAACCATATAGAACCTGTTTGTGAGACAGGGACAATTCGCAGACAAGCAGAAACATGTCTACTGACAGCAGAAGACAGGATGTTCTCAAAGTTAGAGAAACAAAGAAGGGATCCTCCCCAAAGACAAATACAAAGAATTTACTAATTAGAGACATAAGACACAGTCAATATTTCTGCACATGTTAGGAGGAATCAACTCAACCTTTGTGACAACTGGCAAGCTTGATGGAAAAACAACAAGAGGAAGACAGCAATACCTGAATGGCTTGACCATACAGTTGGGGTGGGTCAACAGCACAAATGTGATCCATGATTCTGGTGATCTTGTGGGATGGGAAACAGTGACTGCATTAGCTTAGCATGACAAAGCATCAATACAGACAGCTGATTTTTAAACTGACAGACATAAATTGAGCTACACAACAATACTTCATAGGTCAGTGTGACCTGGTCTTACTTTGAGGTCTCTCAGTTCGGAGAATGTGTCCACAATGATACCCAGGACGATGTTGAGTCCAATGGTGGTGATGAAGATGAAGAATGAAACATGGTAGAAGACAACGATACCAAATTTCTCAAATGTTTTTTCATTTCCATGCGGCTTCATCACCTGCCAGAAATAGGTATTTACAGTCAAATCAAGTACAAATAACATACAGGAGGGGAGAGAGACAGACACAGAGTGAGACAGGAGGGGAGAGAGAGACACAGAGTGAGACAGGAGGGAAAAGAGAGACACAGAGTGAGACAGGAGGGGAGAGAGAGACACAGAGTGAGACAGGAGGGGAGAGAGACAGACACAGAGTGAGACAGGAGGGGAGAGAGACAGACACAGAGTGAGACAGGAGGGGAGAGACAGACAGACACAAAGTGAGACAGGAGGGGAGAGAGACAGACACAGAGTGAGACAGGAGGAAAGAGACAGACACAGAGTGAGACAGGAGGGCAGAGAGGCAGACACAGAGTGAGACAGGAGGGGAGAGAGACAGACACAGAGTGAGACAGGAGGGGAGCAAGACAGACAAAGAGTGAGACAGGAGGGGAGAGAGACAGACAAAGAGTGAGACAGGAGGGGAGAGAGACAGACAAAGAGTGAGACAGGAGGGGAGAGAGACAGACAAAGAGTGAGACAGGAGGGGAGAGAGACAGACAAAGAGTGAGACAGGAGGGAAGAGACAGAGAGACACAAAGTGAGACAGGAGGGGAGAGAGACAGACACAGAGTGAGACAGGAGGAGAGAGACAGACACAGAGTGAGACAGGAGGGGGGAGAGACAGACACAGAGTGAGTAAGTCGACATACAGAGATCTGAAGATGACTTGTTGGTTGATAAATCCTTTGGACAAGAGTTTACATTCTTAGATTCAGTGCAGTTGTCACAGTGTGATCTGTGCTCAAATACACTGCCACATTCATGGCCATACACCAGAACATGTTGAACATGTACATTCAATAATGGAGACTTTCAATTAAAGCAACCTCTTTATATACAAAAATAAATGAACACAGTTTTACCTCAAACAAATCTCCAATGAGGCCGTATCGGATGACTGTTACAGTGCACTGCCACAGTGTGTTACAGTACAAGTAATCGCTGGGGTCAAACATGCTTCTCATCAAAGCAAAGCCAATCATTCCATAGAGGTAGAAGATAACAAGGCCCAGCACTCCAACCCATAACAGGGCTTGACCTGAAACAGTTCACAACCAACTTTTGCTTAAACAATGGCACACAACCAACTTTTGCTTAAACAATGGCACACAACCAACTTTTGCTTAAACAATGGCACACAACCAGCCTTTGCTAAACAATGGCACACAACCAACTTTTGTTAAACAATGGCACACAACCAGCCTTTTGTTAAACAATGGCACACAACCAACCTTTAGTTAAACAATGGCACACAACCAACCTTTAGTTAAACAATGGCACACAACCAACCTTTAGTTAAACAATGGCACACAACCAACCTTTAGTTAAACAATGGCACACAACCAGCCTTTTGTTAAACAATGGCACACAACCAACCTTTAGTTAAACAATGGCACACAACCAACCTTTAGTTAAACAATGGCACACAACCAACCTTTAGTTAAACAATGGCACACAACCAACCTTTAGTTAAACAATGGCACACAACCAGCCTTTTGTTAAACAATGGCACACAACCAGCCTTTTGTTAAACAATGGCACACAACCAGCCTTTTGTTAAACAATGGCACACAACCAGCCTTTTGTTAAACAATGGCACACAACCAACCTTTAGTTAAACAATGGCACACAACCAACCTTTAGTTAAACAATGGCACACAACCAGCCTTTTGTTAAACAATGGCACACAACCAGCCTTTGCTAAACAATGTCACACAACCAACCTTTGCTAAACAATGTCACACAACCAACCTTTGCTAAAACATGTCACACAACCAACCTTTGCTAAACAATGGCACACAACCAACCTTTAGTTAAACAATGACACACAACCAACCTTTGCTAAACAATGGCACACAACCAACCTTTAGTTAAACAATGACACATCAAAAACCTTTAGTTAAACAATGACACATCAAAAACCTTTAGTTAAACAATGACACTTCAACAACCTTTAGTTAAACAATGACACATCAACAACCTTTAGTTAAACAATGGCACATCAACAACCTTTAGTTAAACAATGGCACACAACCAGCCTTTTGTTAAACAATGGCACACAACCAGCCTTTTGTTAAACAATGGCACACAACCAGCCTTTTGTTAAACAATGGCACATCAACAGCCTTTTGTTAAACAATGGCACATCAACAACCTTTAGTTAAACAATGGCACATCAACCAACCTTTAGTTAAACAATGGCACACAACCACAACCTTTAGTTAAACAATGGCACATCAACAGCCTTTTGTTAAACAATGTCACATCAACCAACCTTTGCTAAACAATGTCACACACACATCAACCTTTTAGTTAAACAATGTCACATCAACAACCTTTAGTTAAACTTTGACACTCAACAACCTTTAGTAAACAATGACACATCAACAACCTTTAGTTAAACAATGGCACACAACCAACCTTTAGTTAAACAATGGCACACAACCAACCTTTAGTTAAACAATGGCACATCAACAACCTTTAGTTAAACAATGACACATCAAAAACCTTTAGTTAAACAATGACACATCAACAACCTTTAGTTAAACAATGACACATCAACAACCTTTAGTTAAACAATGGCACATCAACAACCTTTAGTTAAACAATGACACATCAACAACCTTTAGTTAAACAATGACACATCAACAACCTTTAGTTAAACAATGACACATCAACAACCTTTAGTTAAACAATGACACATCAACAACTTTTAGCTAAACAATGGCACACAACCAACCTTTAGTTAAACAATGGCACACAACCAACCTTTAGTTAAACAATGACACATCAAAAACCTTTAGTTAAACAATGGCACATCAACAACCTTTAGTTAAACAATGACACATCAACAACCTTTAGTTGAACAATGACACATCAACAACCTTTAGTTAAACAATGACACATCAACAACCTTTAGTTAAACAATGACACATCAACAACTTTTAGCTAAACAATGGCACACAACCAACCTTTAGCTAAACAATGGCACACAACCAACCTTTAGTTAAACAATGGCAGCAAATTATCTTTATCCTTCTCATTCTGCATCTAGTAATGTCTCAGGGTTAAACAACTGGTGCACACAGCCAAAAAGCTGGCAAGCAGAGACCTATAAAGATGCCTGCAGACCATTGCCAGTTGTACTGTTGAGATGATATTTCTAGACGGCAGCTCAAGCCTTTGGCCTGTGATAATGCCCAGTTTCAAAACTCTGGCCCCTAAGTGTGTCCACACAAGTCAAATGTATGGTGTCAGGTGGACAACTTAAGGCACATTGGGCACAGGTGATGGTCTCACCATTATAGACCAATCAACACTTGATGGGTGAGATGGTCAACGTGACACTGACTGCCATTCATTTCTCCCCTCTCCTATTGCCTCATCAGTCTTTCACTTCCCCATCTATGTAGCTCCAGGTGAACAACAGACAAATGTGGCATGAGTGGGCACTCAACACAGTCTCAGGGGCTGAGTGGCCTCAAGGCATGGTGTCTGTCTTGAGTGCTAGAGGTCCTGGGTTCAAACCCCGGTGAAGGCTGGGAATTTTTCACGTGGACTTCTAGTAATTTCCCCTGGTCTCTGAGTAGTCAGATCGGATGCCCATGTGTATTGTTGTGCACAGAAAAAATTCCTTGGCGGTTTGAAATTGACAAGAATAGCCTAACAACGACGCTGCCCAGACAAAAATTTGCAGTTTAAAATCTACCTAAAAGAATTTCAGGATCCTCACCGGTGCAACGAAGTCGTGCACTGAGCTGAGATTCTTCTACTCAGGCTCAAGTTAGAACAGAGCACTTATGGGTTGTCAGCCTTTTGTGATGATGTTGATTCACTGTATAAACCAGCCACCCTTGTGTGATGATGTTGATCCCCTGTATAAACCAGCCAGCCTTGTGAGATGATGTTGATCCCCTGTATAAACTAGCCAGCCTTGTGCGATGATGTTGATCCCCTGTATAAACTAGCCAGCCTTGTGTGATGATGTTTATCCACTGTATAAACCAGCCAGCCTTGTGTGATGATGTTTATCCACTGTATAAACCAGCCAGCCTTGTGTGATGATGTTTATCCACTGTATAAACCAGCCACCCTTGTGTGATGATGCTGATCCACTGTATAAATCAACAACCCTTGTGTGATGATGCTGATCCACTGTATAAACCAGCCACCCTTGTGCGATGATGTTGATCCACTGTATAAATCAACAACCCTTGTGTGATGATGTTGATCCACTGTATAAACCAGCTACCCTTGAGCAATGATGTTGATCCCCTGTATAAACTAGCCTGCCTTGTGAGATGATGTTGATCCCCTGTATAAACTAGCCACCCTTGTGTGATGATGTTGATCCACTGTATAAACTAGCCTGCCTTGTGTGATGATGTTGATCCACTGTATAAACTAGCCACCCTTGTGTGATGATGTTGGTCCACTGTATAAACCAGCCACCCTTGTGTGATGATGTTGATCCACTGTATAAACTAGCCAGCCTTGTGTGATGATGTTGGTCCACTGTATAAATTAGCCGGCCTTGTGCGATGATGTTGATCCACTGTATAAACCAACAACCCTTGTGTGATGATGTTGATCCACTGTATAAAACAGCCACCCTTGTGTGATGATGTTGATCCACTGTGTAAATTAACTGAACACAGGTAGCTCTGTAATCCATACACTTGGGTATAGAATCCTGGTCACGCTGGAGTCTGAACTTACAAGTGAGTAGATCTGTTAGCATCTGTCTTTCAGTCTTCCACATTACCAGCTCTGTGGAAGCTATATCAACAGATTCATCCACTGAGTGTGCTCAGTCTGGATTCAATTGTGGGGTCAGTATTACAACAGACTACACATCTTATTTGCAGTCTGTGTATCACTGGAAAGATCTACAACTTACAACATGTGTTGTGTCAAGCAAAGCATATCTCTGAAGTACATTTTGACTCTCAAACCAAGAAGCAAACATTTGATAAAAGCAAAAAGCAATGGACAAACAGACACAAGTGCTTACCATTCTGTGTGACAGCTTTGATGACCCCACCAAGTAGCTGGTTGTTGTTGACAATGTTCAGCAGGTGGAAGGCAAAGAAGTAACCGTTGGAGAATGTGCCTCCGACTGACATAGCCAGGAAAATCTGCGGACAAGAGAGATATTTTATACAGCTCCAATTGCCAGAAAAATCTGCGGACAAGAGAGATATTTTATACAGCTCCAATTGCCAGGGAAATCTGCGGACAAGAGAGATATTTTATACAGCTCTAATTGCCAGGGAAATCTGCGGACAAGAGAGATATTTTATACAGCTCCAATTGCCAGGAAAATCTATGGACAAGAGAGATATTTTATACAGCTCCAATTGCCAGGGAAATCTGCGGACAAGAGAGATATTTTATACAGCTCCAATTGCCAGGAAAATCTATGGACAAGAGAGATATTTTATACAGCTCTAATGGCTAGCAACATCTGCGGACAAGAGAGATATTTTATACAGCTCTAATTGCCAGGGAAATCTGCGGACAAGAGAGATATTTTATACAGCTCTAATGGCTAGCAACATCTGTGGACAACAGAGATATTTTATACAGCTCTAATGGCCAGGAAAATCTGTGGACAACAGAGATATTTTATACAGCTCTAATGGCCAGGAAAATCTGTGGACAACAGAGATATTTTATACAGCTCTAATCGTCAGGAAAATCTGGCAATAGAAGATTGAACATACAATAATTTCTGTAAACTTCTAAGAACAGTATCAGACGATTTAAGTAGGTCATCCACGTCAAGAAACTGATCTTAGTAAGGATGTGTAAAGGGCAGAAATAAGAACTCAATGTTACATGTGGGTGGCCAGCATTGATCAACTGATTCATTTGTCTCCTTTGGGCTGCTACTGCACCTAAGTGGAGGGGATGCATAAAGTAAATAATACCGAGAGTGAAGGAGACAAATTAGCCAGCTATGAATGGGGAAATGTCAACTTACAGCATAATAAACTGTGGTCACGCTGAAGAATCGAGCATCAAGTTTAGACACGTGCTTTCTCTTCTTGTCTTCCTCCTCTTCATCATCCTGCTTTCTCCTTAGAGACAGTTTTCTGAAACAAATTCATGACATTCCTGCAGGTAACATTCATTGTTTCACTCTCACCCAAACAATCCACCTATTCCCTAAACAAACCATCAATTCGCCCACCCAAGCAATCAATTCACCTACCCACACAATCAATTCACCCACCATAAAAATCAACTCACCCACCCAAGCAATCAATTTGCCCACCCAAACAATTAATTTGCCCACCCAAATAATTGATTCACCCACCCAAACAATTCATTCACCCACCCAAACAATCGATTCACCCACCCAAACAATTGATTCACCCACCCAACCAATGGATTCACCCACCCAAACAATGGATTCACCCACCCAAAAAAATGATTCACCCACCCAAATAATTCATCCACCCAAACAATCAATTCACCTACCCAAACAATTGATTCATCCACCAAAACAATTGATTCACCCACCCAACCAATGGATTCACCCACCCAAACAATGGATTCACCCACCCAAAAAAATGATTCACCCACCCAAATAATTCATCCACCCAAGCAATCAATTCGCCCACCCAAGCAATCAATTCACCTACCCACACAATCAATTCACCCACCCAAAAAATCAACTCACCCACCCAAGCAATCAATTTGCCCACCCAAACAATTAATTTGCCCACCCAAATAATTGATTCACCCACCCAAACAATTCATTCACCCACCCAAACAATCGATTCACCCACCCAAACAATTGATTCACCCACCCAACCAATGGATTCACCCACCCAAACAATGGATTCACCCACCCAAAAAAATGATTCACCCACCCAAATAATTCATCCACCCAAACAATCAATTCACCCACCCAAACAATCAATTCACCCACCCAAAAAATCAATTCACCCACCCAAACAATCCGTCCGCCTACCCAAACAAGCCCCCAGCTTCCCCTCCTGCCTTCCATCCAATCCACAGATCCATCCAATCAACCAACCTGATCAACCAACACAATCAACCAACCTAATCAATCAACCAACACAATCAACCAACCTGATCAACCAACACAATCAACCAACCTAATCAATCAACCAACACAATCAACCAACCTAATCAATCAACCAACCTAATCAACCAACCTAATCAACCAACCCAATCAACCAACCTAATCAACCAACCAACCCAATCAACCAACACAATCAACCAACCTAATCAATCAACCAACACAATCAACCAACCTGATCAACCAACACAATCAACCAACCTAATCAATCAACCAACACAATCAACCAACCTGATCAACCAACACAATCAACCAACCTAATCAACCAACCAACCTAATCAATCAACCAACCTAATCAACCAACCTAATCAACCAACCCAATCAACCAACCTAATCAACCAACCAACACAATCAACCAACCTGATCAACCAACCAACACAATCAACCAACCTGATCAACCAACCCAATCAACCAACCCAATCAACCAACCAACCCAATCAACCAACCCAATCAACCAACCTAATCAACCAACCCAATCAACCAACACAATCAACTAACACAATCAACCAACCTGATCAACCAACCCAATCAACCAACACAACAATTTCCATTTATTATTCTTCGCTGTAACCCACCAGGCACTGAGTTTTTACCGTAAATATAAATCTCTAGCTAAATAATAAATCAAATATAAATCTGCAGTTAAAGAATAAATCAACAGTTGATTAAAAAGCTATAAACTCATTCCAGAACTGGTAAGTGTCATTCATTATCTACAAAGCTCAATATAATGCCTAGAGAAAAACATCACACTAACATAGAAATGAAGCAACAACTGACTTGCATGCATTGATGCCACTGCGAAAGCTGGGCAGGCGGGGATGGTTGCAAACAAAGTAGCTGATGAACACCAGGAGGGAGAGGAAGTTGTGTGTGCCGCCCATCACCAGGATGGAGATGTAGTACTCACTCAAGGTCAGGGTGGTGATGTCTGGCACAGGGCTGTAGACACAAACACACAACATCACTGGAACACTCGACTGCGATGGGGTGGTCTCAATACATGCATTCCATAAGTACAGTGTCTATCTGCTCTTGTATACTGGATCAAAGAGAAGTACAGTGTCTATCTGCTCTTGTATACTGGATCAAAGAGAAACAAAGTGTCTGTCTGCTCTTGTATACTGGATCAAAGAGAAGTAAAGTGTCTGTCTGCTCTTGTATACTGGATCAAAGAGATCAAAGATCAAAAGAAACAAAGTGTCTGTCTGCTCTGTATACTGATCAAAGAGAAGTACTTGTATCTGCTCTTGTATATGGATCAAAGAGAAGTACAGTGTCTATCTGCTCTTGTATACTGGATCAAAGAGAAACAAAGTGTCTGTCTGCTCTTGTATACTGGATCAAAGAGAAGTACAGTGTCTGTCTGCTCTTGTATACTGGATCAAAGAGAAGTACAGTGTCTATCTGCTCTTGTATACTGGATCAAAGAGAAACAAAGTGTCTGTCTGCTCTTGTATACTGGATCAAAGAGAAACAAAGTGTCTGTCTGCTCTTGTATACTGGATCAAAGAGAAGTAAAGTGTCTGTCTGCTCTTGTATACTGGATCAAAGAGAAGTAAAGTGTCTGTCTGCTCTTGTATACTGGATCAAAGAAAAGTAAAGTGTCTGTCTGCTCTTGTATACTGGATCAAAGAGAAACAAAGTGTCTGTCTGCTCTTGTATACTGGATCAAAGAGAAGTAAAGTGTCTGTCTGCTCTTGTATACTGGATCAAAGAAAAGTAAAGTGTCTGTCTGCTCTTGTATACTGGATCAAAGACAAGTAAAGTGTCTGTCTGCTCTTGTATACTGGATCAAAGACAAGTAAAGTGTCTGTCTGCTCTTGTATACTGGATCAAAGAAAAGTAAAGTGTCTGTCTGCTCTTGTATACTGGATCAAAGAGAAGTACAGTGTCTGTCTGCTCTTGTATACTGGATCAAAGACAAGTACAGTGTCTGTCTGCTCTTGTATAGATAAACAAAGTGTCTGTCTGCTCTTGTATACTGGATCAAAGAGAAGTAAAGTGTCTGTCTGCTCTTGTATACTGGATCAAAGAGAAGTACAGTGTCTATCTGCTCTTGTATACTGGATCAAAGAGAAACAAAGTGTCTGTCTGCTCTTGTATACTGGATCAAAGAGAAACAAAGTGTCTGTCTGCTCTTGTATACTGGATCAAAGAGAAACAAAGTAAAGTGTCTGTCTGCTCTTGTATACTGGATCAAAGAAAAGTAAAGTGTCTGTCTGCTCTTGTATACTGGATCAAAGACAAGTAAAGTGTCTGTCTGCTCTTGTATACTGGATCAAAGAGAAGTAAAGTGTCTGTCTGCTCTTGTATACTGGATTGTAAAGTGTCTGCTCTTGTATACTGGATCAAAGACAAGTAAAGTGTCTGTCTGCTCTTGTATACTGGATCAAAGACAAGTAAAGTGTCTGTCTGCTCTTGTATACTGGATCAAAGAAAAGTAAAGTGTCTGTCTGCTCTTGTATACTGGATCAAAGAGAAGTACAGTGTCTATCTGCTCTTGTATACTGGATCAAAGAAAAGTAAAGTGTCTGTCTGCTCTTGTATACTGGATCAAAGAGAAGTACAGTGTCTATCTGCTCTTGTATACTGGATCAAAGAAAAGTAAAGTGTCTGTCTGCTCTTGTATACTGGATCAAAGACAAGTAAAGTGTCTGTCTGCTCTTGTATACTGGATCAAAGAAAAGTAAAGTGTCTGTCTGCTCTTGTATACTGGATCAAAGAGAAAACAAAGTGTCTGTCTGCTCTTGTATACTGGATCAAAGAAAAGTAAAGTGTCTGTCTGCTCTTGTATACTGGATCAAAGAAAAGTAAAGTGTCTGTCTGCTCTTGTATACTGGATCAAAGAGAAACAAAGTGTCTGTCTGCTCTTGTATACTGGATCAAAGAAAAGTAAAGTGTCTGTCTGCTCTTGTATACTGGATCAAAGAAAAGTAAAGTGTCTGTCTGCTCTTGTATACTGGATCAAAGAGAAACAAAGTGTCTGTCTGCTCTTGTATACTGGATCAAAGAAAAGTAAAGTGTCTGTCTGCTCTTGTATACTGGATCAAAGACAAGTAAAGTGTCTGTCTGCTGTTGTATACTCGATCAAAGAGACTCAGTACTTTCTCTACCCTGGGTTCTAGATGGACATTTAAACAGCTGTTTGAAGGTGAGCCGATTGGTTTCTGTGCACTGAGTGTAATTCTACATGGCTTCTCTCTCACCAGGAAGTTCCTGGTCACCTATCAACCTGCCAATTGCTGCTTTTTTCGGTGTAGGCGGGAGGGAGGGGGGGGGGAGATTTGAACCCTGGTCTCCCGCTTGAGAACCCAGGACACTAACCATTAGGCCGGCTGCTCCTCCAAGAGTGGTGCACAAAGCAGATAGCCTTGTAGCTCAAGTTATGACCTTGAAGGATCTACACACAAATTCCCAAAACTGAATGTATGACCATTTCACTGTACAGAAACCCATAATCTTTAGTCATGTTCAGTCTGGCTGGAGGATGTACTGTTGTTGTTCAAGTGACTGGGCATGAAATGTACTGCATCCAGACAGATGTGGTGACCTTCAAGACCCTCTACCCCTGGCAATGTTGTAGACTGAACACATGACAAGATTCTGTGGCAGACAAAGCACCATGAGTTGATTGGCTACTCCAGTGGAGTTACCTTTCAACTTGTTCTGTGCCTGCCAACTGTTACATGACCCACCTTTATCTTCACTGCTTTTCACCACACTGACCTGTATTGCTGCTGTATTTCAAGCCATTGAGTTCTCAATGTTGATTACTGAAAGCAACTACAGCTACCTGGGATGCTGTCCGGGCTGGAAACTGTAAACTGTTCTTTAGTTTTGAGACGAGACGAGGAAAACACTGTAAAGACTGGGGTCAAGGTCGACTGGAGTCAAGGCCGACTGAAGAAGGAATATCATGATCTAGAACATCAAGGACCAAGATCTATGCAGAGCCATGAATGTCTGCAGGCACATGATGATGTTTCACAGACATGCATACAGCAAACCTACTCTCGGAGAAGGGGTGGGATGCCAGTTGTATTCCTCAAAATTCCAGGAGTTTCCAGGGACGCCTTGGCCTTCCATGTCACCAGCATCAGGATGTTGATGGCAAAACTAAGAACTGTGATCAGATGGTTCCACACCAGCCTGAAACATGGACAACACTGTCTACATGGTCAGCAGACATCAGTAAACTATAAACACGGACAACAGTGTCTACATAGTCAGCAACATCAGTAAACTATAAACATGGACAACACTGTCTACATGGTCAGCAGACATCAGTAAACTATAAACGTGGACAACACTGTCTACATGGTCAGCAGACATCAGTAAACTATAAACATGGACAACACTGTCTACATGGTCAGCAGACATCAGTAGACTATAAATATGGACAACACTGTCTACATGGTCAGCAGACATCAGTAGACTATAAAAATGGACAACACTGTCTATGTGGTCGGCAGACATCAGTAAACTATAAACATTGACAACACTGTCTACATGGTCAGCAACATGAGTAAACTATAGACATGGACAACACTGTCTACATGGTCAGCAACATCAATAAACTATAAACATGGACAACACTGTCTATATGGTCAGCAGACATCAGTACACTATAAACATGGACAACACTGTCTACATGGTCAGCCGACATCAGTAAACAATAAACATGGACAACACTGTCTACATAATCAGCAAACATCAGTAAACTATAAACATGGACAACACTGTCTACATGGTCAGCTGACATCAGTAAACTATAAACATGGACAACACTGTCTACATGGTCAGCAGACATCAGTAAACTATAAACATGGACGCCACTGTCTACATGGTCAGCAGACATCAGTAAACTATAAACATGGACAATACTGTCTACATGGTCAGCCGACATCAGTAAACTATAAACATGGACAACACTGTCTACATGCTCAGCAGACATCAGTAAACTATAAACAAGGACAATACTGTCTACATGGTCAGCAAACATGAGTAAACTATAAACATGGACAACACTGTCTACATGGTCAGCAACATCAGTAAACTATAAACATGGACAACACTGTCTACATGGTAAGCAGACATCAGTAAACTATAAACATGGACAACACTGTCTACATGGTCAGCAGACATCAGTAAACTATAAACATGGACAACACTGTCTACATGGTCAGCCAGACATCAGTAAACTATAAACATGGACAACACTGTCTACATGCTCAGCAGACATCAGTAAACTATAAACAAGGACAACACTGTCTACATGGTCAGCAACATCAGTAAACTATAAACATGGACAACACTGTCTACATGGTCAGCAACATCAGTAAACTATAAACATGGACAACACTGTCTACATGGTCAGCAACATCAGTAAACTATAAACATGGACAACACTGTCTACATGCTCAGCAGACATCAGTAAACTATAAACATGGACAACACTGTCTACATGGTCAGCAGACATCAGTAAACTATAAACATGGACAACACTGTCTACATGGTCAGCAGACATCAATAAACTATAAACATGGACAACACTGTCTACATGGTCAGCAGACATCAATAGACTATAAACATGGACAACACTGTCTACATGGTCAGCAACATCAATAGACTATAAACATGGACAACACTGTCTACATGGTCAGCAGACATCAATAGACTATAAACATGGACAACACTGTCTACATGGTCAGCAGACATCAATAAACTATAAACATGGACAACACTGTCTACATGGTCAGCAGACATCAATAGACTATAAACATGGACAACGAACACTGTCACACATGGTCAGCAGACATCAATAGACTTTAAACATGGACAACACTGTCTATTATGGTCAGCAAACATCAATAGACTATAAACATGGACAACACTGTCTACATGGTCAGCAGACATCAATAGACTATAAACATGGACAACACTGTCTATATGGTCAGCAGACATCAATAGACTATAAACATGGACAACACTGTCTATATGGTCAGCAGACATCAATAGACTATAGACATGGACAACACTGTCTACATGGTCAGCAGACATCAGTAGACTATAAACATGGACAACACTGTCTACATGGTCAGCAGATATCAATAGACTATAAACACAGACAACACTGTCTACATGGTCAGCAGACATCAATAGACTATAAACATGGACAACACTGTCTACATGGTAAGCAGACATCAATAGACTATAAACATGGACAACACTGTCTACATGGTCAGCAAACATTAATAAACTATAAACACGGACAACACTGTCTACATGGTCAGCAGACATCAATAGACTATAAACATGGACAACACTGTCTACATGGTCAGCAGACATCAATAAACTTTAAACACAGACAACACTGATTACTTGGTCAGCAAACATCAATAGACTATAAACATGGACAACACTGTCTACATGGTCAGCAGACATCAATAGACTATAAACATGGACAACACTGTCTATATGGTCAGCAGACATCAATAGACTATAAACATGGACAACACTGTCTAAATGGTCAGCAGACATCAGTAAACTATAGACATGGACAACACTGTCTACATGGTCAGCAGACATCAGTGGACTATAAACATGGACAACACTGTCTGCATGGTCAGCAGACATCAGTAGACTATAAACATGGACAACACTGTCTACATGGTCAGCAGACATCAATAGACTATAAACATGGACAACAATGTCTATATGTTCAGCAGACATCATAAGACTACAAACATGGACAACACTGTCTACATGGTCAGCAGACATCAATAGACTATAAACATGGACAGGTGTATGCAGGCAACGGTGTAAATAGCCTGGACAAGGAAGTGTAGGCAGACAGTAAAGTCACTAACCTACAAGGACAAATGTAGGCTAAAAAATGTAAATAATCTAATACTTGGATAAGTGTATGCCGTAATGTCAGTAACTGAATACATGTACACATGAACTAACGAACAAATTTTATTTTCAAAGGGTCCCAAATTAGGCACACAGGCCCTTTTTACATTCAGCCCTTTCGAACACTCATCTTAAACACAGCGGTTGTATATGATTAATAAAGCATGTTCATGTAATAATATGCATATTATGAATACCAAGTCAAAAATAAAAGCATGTGTGGTAAAATGCATGTGCACACTCTCATGCACACATACACATCCACATACACACGCAAACCCATTTAGTCACTTACACACACATATACCCAATACCCAATACACACATACATATACAGATTTAAAAAAAAAATAACACGCACAAATATCCAGAAACCACAATGTGGGTGAGTGTAGACAGACAATAATGTCTCAGTAACCTACAATGTGGGTGAGTGTAGACAAAGAATCATGATTATCTAGACAATATCTGGCTACAGGAGCAGAAACCAGAGATAGCAGTAATCAACCAGGTAATCAATGATCAACAACAAACTACAACTGACCAGCCTTTGGTCAGCATGATGGTCAGTGGATTCTTGATGATCTTCTGCTGGTAGGCAATATCCTTCATAATGTCCTTGGTCCAGCCCATCAGGTCTCGGATCTTGTTGCTAGGAGACGACCGATCAACACCCCACTTGAGTTTTTCTTTGACCTCTTCACGCAGAACACGCTGGGGAAACAACAAACAGAATACGCTGGGGAAACAACAAACAGAACACGCTGGGGAAACAACAAACAGAACACGCTGGGGAAACAACAAACAGAACACGCCGGGGAAACAACAAACAGAACACACTGGGGAAACAACAAGCAGAACACGCTGGGGAAACAACAGCAGAACACGATGGGAAAACAACAAACAGAACACACTGGGGAAACAACAGCAGAGTACGCTGGGGAAACAACAAACAGAACACACTGGGGAAACAACAAACAGAACATGCTGGGGAAAACAACAGCAGAACACGCTGGGGAAACAACAAACAGAACACGCTGGGGAAACAACAAACAGAACACGCTGGGGAAATCTTTCACTTCCAGAACCTGATTGGGGACCCAACACTCAGAACATTGTGAGTCATGTATGACAGCTGATTGCCTGGAAACACTCTGGGGAAACACACACAACAGTAAAACGCTGGTCCACAACAAACTTTACATTCACTGGGGAAACACATGAAACAGAACACGCCATCTATGGAAACAACAAACAGAACCACGCTGGGGAAACTAACAAACAGTGTTTGTCTGACTGATTATCCAAGGACACGCTGGGGAAAAGCTGACAGAACAATGAAGTAACCACCTATTAAGATAACATTTCCCTCCTGATGTGATCTGTCACTTCCTGGCACCTGATTCAACACCTCCTAAGGTTGCGAGTTAAGGTTTGGTTGTGTTAGGTTTTGTATGCTCAGATCAGACCATCAGGTGGGGTTGCCTCAATAAACTCGTATGTCAGCAGCATCCTTCATGGTTCCCCATAGCTTGCTCTGCAGACTGTTCTTGAAGCCAGGTTGTAGGTAGAGTGGGCAGGTCTGCAGAATGTGCTTTGTGTTTGAGTTCCTGTTTGTCAGACATATTGTGGGGACTGTACACTCTTTTTTAATGCATGTGATAGTTGAGCCTGCAGTGTCCCGTTCACAGATGGAAAACTGTTATGTTGCTTTTTATTGAGTCTGCTGATGAGGTCTTGTGGATGTTTACTATTGGTCTGTTCTCTCCCCATTTCCTTGTATTTTCCTTGATGAGTGTTTTGATTTCTGGTAATGACAATGAATGGGTGTGTATCTCTTTGTTCCAATGTTATGCAAGTCTGCTAATTATTTTCGTGGTATGCCGCAGTGAGCCAAAATCCACTGGAGAATAATTCAATTGTTTTCTGTCAGACTGTTGAGCTGGCGGTTCAGTTCTCTCTCTCTACATGTTGTCTCATGGATCCCCCTGAGTGACCTGGAGGACTGACATGCAACACAAAGGAAAACAATCTTGCTGTTTTTCATTTTTCTTTCCTCAAACACTTTGGCTGAATCAATAATTGCTTGCTGCTCTGCTCTGAAGTTTGTTGAGAGTCTTCCGGAGGCACACGAAGTTTCTACTGTGGTCCCATCCTGCAGCATGATGACCAATCCAGCTCCTCCATTGTTTTTTCTACTCCATTGGTGAAAACATGTGTCCATTCAAGTTTTAGGACAGAGTTGTAGACATGATCAAAGGTCTTTGCAAAGGTCTGTAGACATGTTCAAAGGTCTTTGCAAAGGTCTGTAGACATGTTCAAAGGTCTTTGCAAAGGTTTGTAGACATGTTCAAAGGTCTTTGCAAAGGTCTGTTTAAAAGTGTGAAGGTTTCTGAAATGTTATCAGCCTTCAAACAACACAGGAGCTGGCCCCTAATCTCTAGCCAAGACAAAAATGTTTGTTACCTGGAGACCCCAAAAATTAAAACCAGGCAACTGCATGATCAGTAGACCATTCCTTAACCTTCTTGGCTCATCACCAAAAAAAGTACTAAATTTCTGTTAAATAAATATTGCATTGAATTAATAAAGAATGCCAGCAACCTCCAGCTAACGTGGCATTGTCCGAGCTTACCCTGTTCTTGACCCGGAAGTTAATCTTCTGCAGGTAGTCATCCTTGACAATCTCTATAGACATGCAGTTCTTCTTGTAGAAGCTGAAGGCTTTGGCTTGTAACGGGGTCATTCTCACTGCAACATCAAAGTTATATCAGCACTGAATTACATGGGATGCCAAGACCATGTGATCAGACACAGCTGCTGAGACATGTGATCAGACACAGCTGCTGAGACCATATGATCAGACACAGCTGCTGAGACCATGTGATCAGACACAGCTACTGAGACCATGTAATCAGACACAGCTGCTGAGACCATGTGATAAGATACAGCTGCTGAGACCATGTGATCAGACACAGCTGCTGAGACCATGTGATCAGACACAGCTGCTGAGACCATATGATCAGACACAGCTGCTGAGACCATGTGATCAGACACAGCTGCTGAGACCATGTGATCAGACACAGCTGCTGAGACCATGTGATCAGACACAGTTGCTGAGACCATGATGACACAGCATCTGAACATGTGATCAGATACAGCTGCTGAGACCATGTGATCAGATACAGCTGCTGAGGTGATCAGATAAGCTATGAGACCAATCACACAGGACAGCATGTGTACAGGGAGACCATGTGTAACTGTGATCAGACACACACAGGACACCATGTGATGACACAGGTTGAGACCTGTAGCCAACACAGACATTATATGAACAGCTGGTGAACATGTGATAGCACAGCACTGAGACATGTATGTAAGGGTAACTGATCAGATACAGCTGCTGAGACCATGTGACACACAGCTGACAGCATGTGTAAGGGGTAACTGTAGCCAACACACAGGACAGTATGTGTAAGGGGTAACTATAGTCAACACACAGGACAGTATGTGTAAGGGGTAACTATAGCCAACACACAGGACAGCATGTGTAAGGGGTAACTGTAGCCAACACACAGGACATCATGTGTAAGGGGTAACTATAGCTAACACACTTGACATCATATGTAAGGGGTAACTATAGCCAACACACAGGACAGTATGTGTAAGGGGTAACTATAGCCAACACACAGGACATTATGTGTAAGGGGTAACTATAGCCAACACACAGGACAGTATGTGTAAGGGGTAACTGTAGCCAACACACAGGACAGCATGTGTAAGGGGTAACTATAGCCAACACACAGGACAGCATGTGTAAGGGGTAACTGTAGCCAACACACAGGACAGCATGTGTAAGGGGTAACTGTAGCCAACACACAGGACAGCATGTGTAAGGGGTAACTATAGCCAACACACAGGACAGCATGTGTAAGGGGTAACTATAGCCAACACACAGGACAGCATGTGTAAGGGGTAACTATAGCCAACACACAGGACAGCATGTGTAAGGGGTAACTATAGCCAACACACAGGACAGCATGTGTAAGGCGTAACTGTACCAAACACACAGGACAGCATGTGTAAGGCGTAACTATAGCCAACACACAGGACAGCATGTGTAAGGCATAACTGTACCAAACACACAGGACAGCATGTGTAAGGGGTAACTGTACCAAACACACAGGACAGCAAATGCCAACTTTTGTGACAGCATGTGTAAGGGGTAACTATAGCTAACAATGTATGAACTAACTATAGCCAATATCTGGAGTAGAAGAGCATGAGAGGGAGACCAAGTGAGAAGATAACAGATGTTGTGGCACTACAGAGGAACATCTGTATAAGGAACATAATTGGTAGTACATGAGAGAAAAGGCCTGAGACTGACAGGATGGAGACACCACAGGACCAACTACAACAGGTCTGATGATGATCCAACAGCTGAATAGCAAGCCCAAGTGTAGAAATGTAGCAGAGAGCTTGTTCACCTGACTTCACATCCAAGGAAATGTAAGTGCCATCACCACAATGGCCAGCTGTGTGTTGTCTCTAAACCTGTCCACCCCAAATCAGCTCAAGCATATTCACAGTATGAGAGAATCTATGTAACCTTTCATATCTGCAAGTGGAGACAGAGTACCTTAGGATTTGCCCATAGAGCTATGCCCCTGTTTCTGTGTGACACAACATGAAGAACAGACTTACAGTACTCGAGAAGCTTGGGGTCAATATCACACATCCTGGCCAGGATCAGGTACAGCCCAAACCCCACATCCATGTAGTCCTCAGCAAATTCTTCCTTCTGTTTTTTCTGAGACAACAGAAACCAAAATATTGAAGCAGAAGTAGCGTTACAAACAAATCAAATCAAATGTTTTCAATAAAATTGCTGTTGCTGTTTGCGATCTTCAGAAAGACCAAACATAACTATCAGTACCAGCTTGTCATGTCTACTACTTCGTTAGACGCAAGTTGCTCTAGACATTTCTCCTCACCTGGCCAACACAGCTATATGAATGGGGACAGTGTTGCAGAGCTCTCCTTCCCTTCTTCAATCTTAGAAATGTGGGATGTCCATCAATGGTACCAGAACTTCACATCTGTAGAGAGGTATCTTGTCTGTCACACTTGTAGCTGTGACGTACGACAGCTGGTCACACTGGACTGCTGTAGCTGTTACGGGCAACAGCTGGGCACACTAGGCTGCTGTAGCTGTGACATGCGACAGCCGGTCACACTGGACTGCTGTAGCTGTTACGGGCAACAGCCGGTCACACCGGGCTGCTGTAGCTGTTACGGGCAACAGCTGGTCACACTGGGCTGCTGTAGCTGTTACAGGTGACAGCCGGTCACACCGGGCTGCTGTAGCTGTTACGGGTGACAGCCGGTCACACCGGGCTGCTGTAGCTGTTACGGGCAACAGCTGGTCACACTGGGCTGCTGTAGCTGTTACGGGCAACAGCTGGTCACACTGGGCTGCTGTAGCTGTTACGGGCAACAGCTGGTCACTCTGGGCTGCTGTAGCTGTTACGGGCAACATCTGGTCACACTGGGCTGCTGTAGCTGTGACGGGCAACAGCTGGTCACACTGGGCTGCTGTAGCTGTTACGGGCAACAGCTGGTCACACTGGGCTGCTGTAGCTGTTACGGGCAACAGCGGGTCACACTGGGCTGCTGTAGCTGTTACGGGTGATAGCCGGTCACACTGGGCTGCTGTAGCTGTGACAGGTGATAGCCGGTCACACTGGGCTGCTGTAGCTGTGACGGGTGATAGCCGGTCACACTGGGCTGCTGTAGATGTGACGGGTGACAGCCAGTCACACTAGGCTGCTGTAGCTGTGACGGGTGATAGCCGGTCACACTGGGCTGCTGTAGCTGTTTTGGGTGACAGCCAGGAACCCTAATTATAACTTCGCAGGAGGTTGAATGGGGTATTTAAGATCTGCCATCTCAGGGTGGTGAAACTTCAGGCAGCATCCCAGAGAGGACAAATTGGGTCAGCCCAGCACATGGAAGTTGGCCAGGATTACTTCAGTGTTACCCTATTGTCAGCTAATGTCTAGAAGCAAAATACAAGTGGTTTTGTTAAACAGCCTTCAATACAATGAATAATTAATAGTTCATCTTCAAGTTGAATACAACTACTGGAAGTAAAATGGTTCACAAATAATTAAGTGAGACTTGCTTGATATTAAAGTCAGACTTGAAGATAAAAAAAAAAGATGGTTGAATAATAACGCAAATGTAACATCATCATCACAACTGCCAACTCTTCCCGTGTGGGTTCCAGGCCTTACTGTGGAGAAGACAAGAACAGACCCACTACCTCCCCAGCAAGCATGACATAAGAGTTGACTAGCTGGGAGCTTCCTCTGAAGTCTGAGTGCATCTTCTTAAGAGGCAGGGAACCATCAGTCTGCACATACATAAGTCAGATCTGTCAAACTGATGTCCCCGCAACACTCAAGTTCTGGAATAGGACGGACAACCAGAACTTTCCACAGGAGTTTACAGAGGGTGAACAAGAAGAAGAAAATGAACAACTCACCATGACACCCTTGAAGAGTTTCTTGCCTTTGTTCAAACTCCTGGTTGAAGCCAGCTTTCCCTGAGAGCCCATTGGATCAGCCATGGCCTCCTCCAGAGCTTTCAGTTCCATCACCTTGGTTTTGTCCGTCTGGTGGCGCTCATAGCAGTTTGCCATCAATGCTAACACCGCCTTTTTTGTCCAAAGTGTCTTTCACCTCCTGTTGAAAAAAACTTGTCTTTGATTAACTGCACTTGCAGAGGTTCCGTCTCCACGAATGGAGGCTGGCTACAATGGATGTTTGCATTTATTGCCATAAACTTGTCTTTGTTTAACTGCACTTGCAGAGGTTCCGTCTCCACTAATGGAGGCTGGCTACAATGGATGTTTGCATTTATAGCCATGTTTATGATTAACACAAGCGAGGTTGCCTAATCTCTCCCCAATATGATTACTGTACCACAGTCAAAATGCCACCAGAACAGCCTGTGTTCACAAGCAAACACTGCTATGTCAAAGACCAAGAAACAAACAACCTGTGTTAACCCTACCAGACCGCTGGCCAGATTTTCCAGGAATTTTCTAACCTGACGCAATACCGCTGGCCCCATTTTTTTGGGAATTTGCATAGTGCGTGACAAATATGCGTCACAGACTAAAAATAACCAGCCAATGGCCAGCAGACTTGGTGGTTAGTCACAAATAACCAGCCAATGGCCCTCAGACTTGGTGGTTAGTCACAAATAACCAGCCAATGGCCAGCAGACTTGGTGGTTAGTCACAAATAACCAGGATATGGCCAGCAGACTTGGTGGTTAGTCACAAATAACCAGCCAATGGCCAGCAGACTTGGTGGTTAGTCACAAATAACCAGCCAATGGCCAGTAGACTTGGTGGTTAGTCACAAATAACCAGCCAATGGCCAGCAGACTTGGTGGTTAGTCACAAATAACCAGCCAATGGCCAGCAGACTTGGTGGTTAGTCACAAATAACCAGCCAATGGCCCTCAGACTTGGTGGTTAGTCACAAATAACCAGCCAATGGCCAGCAGACTTGGTGGTTAGTCACAAATAACCAGCCAATGGCCAGCAGACTTGGTTTTAGTCACAAATTTACCAGCCAATGGCCAGCAGACTTGGTGGTTAGTCACAAATAACCAGCCAATGGCCAGCAGACTTGGTGGTTAGTCACAAATAACCAGCCAATGGCCAGCAGACTTGGTGGTTAGTCATTGTGAAAAACTAGATCGATAGTAAGAGAAGGGGGAGTGTCCCTCAAACAGCAACATCTGGTGCTTACTTTGTGAAACAAGACTAATCCTACTAGGCAGATTGGCACACAAAGGTGAAAGATTTACACTAGATGAAAGGTAAACCTATTTTCTACAATGTCTCCAATTTTCATCTTATTCTAACCACATGTTTGCATGTAACTAATATTTGTGTACATCATGTTGGTTTTTTCGCGTTAATGCCCAGGAGCTCAGGTTATAGGGACAGTTAGGTTCAGGGCCTCAGGTCTGGTAGGGTTAACAAGCAAACCATGGTATGTCAAAGACTGAGAAACAAACTTTATACTCTTTCTTCATTCTATATTTTTTAAGTGATCAGCAGCCAGTATCCCTTACATGCACCCCAACCACAGAACCCAACCTGCCAATCATCCACTCTGAGGACTTGAGGTCATCATTGATCCCAGGAGTTGACAGTAGCTGATAAACCTCCATGTTGCCTGATGTTTGGCTGCACTGAACTCATGCAGACATGAGAAAAAAAATGTCTGTACATACACACAAATATCTCATAGACTGAACATCTTTGGGTGACATGAATGATACAGGTAATGAGGTGGATTCATGAGTGTCTGAGCTGTCTGAGCACAAACATGTTATGTACATTCAATTGCAACAAAGTTCTTGAATCCAATTCTCTTATTATGCAAAACTTTTCATAATGTGAGCAGGTATTGCTTGTCATGCTCACCATCACCATAATTCTATCACCTGGAAAGACAGAAAGTGGCAACCAACAGTTATAAATTTATCCAAAGTGCACTCATGTCGCCAGGATAACAGAAATGACACAAAAGGGTAATCAACAACTCACCAGGGCCACCTCAGTGGCACCAGGACCATTCTCTTCTATCAAACTCATGACCAGGTTGGAGATGCTCTTTCTCAGCTCTAGAGTCTGGGGACATACAGCACACAGTCTGATCAGTTCTATATTCTAGAGAGAATAAAACAGTCTAGTCTAGTCAGTTCTATAATCTAGAGAGAATGAAGCACACAGTCTGATCAGTTCTATAATCTAGAGAGAATGAAGCAGACAGTCTGGTCAGTTCTATAATCTAGAGAGAATGAAGCAGACTGTCTGATCAGTTCTAAAATCTAGAGAGAATAAAGCAGACAGTCTGATCAGTTCTATAATCTAGAGAGAATGAAGCAGACAGTCTGATCAGTTCTATAATCTAGAGAGAATGAAGCAGACAGTCTGATCAGTTCTATAATCTAGAGGGAATGAATGAAGCAGAATGAAGCATTCTGAGACAGTCTAGAGAGAATCAGTTCTATAATCTAGAGAGAATGAAGCAGACAGTCTGATCAGTTCTATAATCTAGAGAGAATGAAGCAGACAGTCTGATCAGTTCTATAATCAGAACAGTCTGATCAGTTCTATAATCTAGAGAGAATGAAGCAGACAGTCTGATCAGTTCTATAATCTAGAGAGAATGAAGCAGACAGTCTGATCAGTTCTATAATCTAGAGAGAATGAAGCAGACAGTCTGTTCAGTTCTATAATCTAGAGAGAAGAAGCAGAAGTCTGATCAGTTCTATAATCTAGAGAGAATGAAGCAGACAGTCTGATCAGTTCTATAATCTAGAGAGAATGAAGCAGACAGTCAGTGATCAGTTCTATAATCTAGAGAGAATGAAGCAGCAGTCTGATCAGTTCTATAATCTGATCAGTCTGATCAGTTCTATAATCTAGAGAGAATGAAGCAGACAGTCTGATCAGTTCTATAATCTAGAGAGAATGAAGCAGACAGTCTGAGTTCAGTTCTATAATCTAGAGAGAATGAAGCAGACAGTCTGATCAGTTCTATAATCTAGAGAGAATGAAGCAGACAGTCTGATCAGTTCTATAATCTAGAGAGAATGAAGCAGACAGTCTGATCAGTCTGATCAGTTCTATAATCTAGAGAGAATGAAGCAGACAGTCTGATCAGTTCTATAATCTAGAGAGAATGAAGCAGACAGTCTGATCAGTTCTATAATCTAGAGAGAATGAAGCAGACAGTCTGATCAGTTCTATAATCTAGAGAGAATGAAGCAGACAGTCTGATCAGTTCTATAATCTAGAGATAATGAAGCAGTCTGATCAGTTCTATAATCTAGAGAGAATGAAGCAGACAGTCTGATCAGTTCTATAATCTAGAGAGAATGAAGCAGACAGTCTGATCAGTTCTATAATCTAGAGAGAATGAAGCAGACAGTCTGATCAGTTCTATAATCTAGAGAGAATGAAGCAGACAGTCTGATCAGTCTTCTAGTTAATCTAGAGAGAATGAAGCAGACAGTCTGATCAGTTCTATAATCTAGAGAGATGAAGCAGACAGTCTGATTCTATAATCTAGAGAGAATGAAGCAGACAGTCTGATCAGTTCTATAATCTAGAGAGAATGAAGCAGACAGTCTGAGAGATCTAGAGAGAATGAAGCAGACAGTCTGATCAGTTCTATAATCTAGAGAGAATGAAGCAGACAGTCTGATCAGTTCTATAATCTAGAGAGAATGAAGCAGACAGTCTGATCAGTTCTATAATCTAGAGAGAATAGCAGACAGTCTGAGAATCTAGAGAGAATGAAGCAGACAGTCTGATCAGTTCTATAATCTAGAGAGAATGAAGCAGACAGTCTGATCAGTTCTATAATCTAGAGAGAATGAAGCAGACAGTCTGATCAGTTCTATAATCTAGAGAGAATGAAGCAGACAGTCTGATCAGTTCTATAATCTAGAGAGAATGAAGCAGACAGTCTGATCAGTTCTATAATCTAGAGAGAATGAAGCAGACAGTCTGATCAGTTCTATAATCTAGAGAGAATGAAGCAGACAGTCTGATCAGTTCTATAATCTAGAGAGAATGAAGCAGTCTGATCAGTTCTATAATCTAGAGAGAATGAAGCAGACAGTCTGATCAGTTCTATAATCAGATGAAGCAGACAGTCTGATCAGTTCTATAATCTAGAGAGAATGAAGCAGACAGTCTGATCAGTTCTATAATCTAGAGAGAATGAAGCAGACAGTCTGATCAGTTCTATAATCTAGAGAGAATGAAGCAGACAGTCTGATCAGTTCTATAATCTAGAGAGAATGAAGCAGACAGTCTGATCAGTTCTATAATCTAGAGAATCTAGAGAGAATGAAGCAGACAGTCTGATCAGTTCTATAATCTAGAGAGAATGAAGCAGACAGTCTGATCAGTTCTATAATCTAGAGAGAATGAAGCAGACAGTCTGATCAGTTCTATAATCTAGAGAGAATGAAGCAGACAGTCTGATCAGTTCTATCATCTAGAAAGAATAGAGAGAAGAAGCAGACAGTCTGATCAGTTCTATAATCTAGAGAGAATGAAGCAGACAGTCTGATCAGTTCTATAATCTAGAGAGACAATGAAGCAGACAGTCTGATCAGTTCTATAATCTAGAGAGAATGAAGCAGACAGTCTGATCAGTTCTGATCAGTTCTATAATCTAGAGAGAATGAAGCAGACAGTCTGATCAGTTCTATAATCTAGAGAGAATGAAGCAGACAGTCTGATCAGTTCTATAATCTAGAGAGAATGAAGCAGACAGTCTGATCAGTTCTATAATCTAGAGAGAATGAAGCAGACAGACAGTCTGATCAGTTCTATAATCTAGAGAGAATGAATGAAGCAGACAGTCTGATCAGTTCTATAATCTAGAGAGAATGAAGCAGACAGAATGAAGCTGATCAGTTCTATAATCTAGAGAGAATGAAGCAGACAGTCTGATCAGTTCTATAATCTAGAGAGAAGAATGAAGCAGTCTGATCAGTTCTATAATCTAGAGAGAATGAAGCAGACAGTCTGATCAGTTCTATATCTAGAGAGAATGAAGCAGACAGTCTGATCAGTTCTATAATCTAGAGAGAATGAAGCAGACAGTCTGATGATCAGTTCTATAATCTATGATCAGTTCTATAATCTAGAGAATGAAGCAGACAGTCTGATCAGTTCTATAATCTAGTCTGAATGAAGCAGACAGTCTGATCAGTTCTATAATCTAGAGAATGAGAGACAATGATCAGTTCTATAATCTAGAGAGAATGAAGCAGACAGTCTGATCAGTTCTATAATCTAGAGAGAATGAAGCAGACAGTCTGATCAGTTCTATAATCTAGAGAGAATGAAGCAGACAGTCTGATCAGTTCTATAATCTAGAGAGAATGAAGCAGACAGTCTGATCAGTTCTATAATCTAGAGAGAATGAAGCAGACAGTCTGATCAGTTCTATAATCTAGAGAGAATGAAGCAGACAGTCTGATCAGTTCTATAATCTAGAGAGAATGAAGCAGACAGTCTGATCAGTTCTATAATCTAGAGAGAATGAAGCAGACAGTCTGATCAGTTCTATAATCTAGAGAGAATGAAGCAGACAGTCTGATCAGTTCTATAATCTAGAGAGAATGAAGCAGACAGTCTGATCAGTTCTATAATCTAGAGAGAATGAAGCAGACAGTCTGAAGCAGACAGTCAGTTCTATATAATCTAGAGAGAATGAAGCAGACAGTCTGATCAGTTCTATAATCTAGAGAGAATGAAGCAGACAGTCTGATCAGTTCAGTCTAGAGAGAATGAAGCAGACAGTTCTAGTTCTATAATCTAGAGAGAATGAAGCAGACAGTCTGATCAGTTCTATAATCTAGAGAGAATGAAGCAGACAGTCTGATCAGTTCTATAATCTAGAGAGAATGAAGCAGACAGTCTGATCAGTTCTATAATCTAGAGATAATCTAGAGAGATGAAGTCTGATCAGTTCTATAATCTAGAGAGAATGAAGCTTCACAGGTTAAGTGCTCTAACAATGTAGTCTAAGGAAAACAATATAGTCTATACTGATACATACAAAAGAAAAAAAGAAAATGCAACATATAAATGTTTTTGCCAAACAAACACAAAAATGTTTATGCCAAACAAACACAATAATGTGTATGCCAAACAAACATATGAATGTTTATGCCAAACAAACATATGAATGTTTATGCCAAACAAACAAACAAACACATGAATGTTTATGCCAAACAAACATATGAATGTTTATGCCAAACAAACATATGAATGTTTATGCCAAACAAACATATGAATGTTTATGCCAAACAAACACATGAATGTTTATGCCAAACAAACATATGAATGTTTATGCCAAACAAACATATGAATGTTTATGCCAAACAAACATATGCATGTTTATGCCAAACAAACACATGAATGTTTATGCCAAACAAACACAAAAATGTTTATGCCAAACAAACATATAAATGTTTATGCCAAACAAACATATGAATGTTTATGCCAAACAAACACAATAATGTTTATGCCAAACAAACACAATAATGTTTATTCCAAACAAACACAATAATGTTTATGCCAAATAAACACAATAACAAGATTCAAGCCAAAACCACTGACCTTCTCCGTGGAGCAGTCCCCAAACTCTCCAGATCTCAGGATGAAGTTGATGTAGTCAATGATTTTGTTGTCATAGATGACCACTCGGTTGTCTTGGTTACCCTGGTAAACACAAGAAGATTGCAGTAGAAACAGACAAATCTTATATCTGTTTTCACTACCACTTCTGTCTCTGACTGAAGCACTGGTCCTCTACCAATTCTGATCTAGCCAGCTATCATTTGAAGCCATCTCTGTTATTCATCACTTTAGTAAATGTTTGCATTTTGAAGGTAACGTTTTCTAAGAGATGCTGTAGTGTCTCTTGCCATCCCTATATAGTCATTTATGGTAGGTTACAGGGTGAGTCAAAAGTCTAGGACAAGCGTGCTGCATCTGTTTCTTCAGTAGGCAAAGATGACTATGTGCAGACTGCCAGTGACAACCTGCGAAGAAGTACCTCCTGTTTCCTCCACACATTGAGTGTAGTCAAAGACAAAGGAATCAAACTTAACAGTGAATTTATTCATGGTGAAATTTATGAAACACTCATTCATGGTTTCAATTACAAGGCACAGATGAAACACTTACAGCAGTGAACTCATTCATGGTTTCAATTACAAGAGACACATGAAACACTTACAGCAGTGAACTCATTCATGGTTTCAATTACAAACTCATTCAGTTTCAATTACACATGAAACACTTACAGCAGTGAACTCATTCATGGATTTCAATTACTCAAGGTTTCAATTACAAGGGACACATGAAACACTTACAGCAGTGAACTCATTCATGGTTTCAATTACAAAGGACACATGAAAACACTTACAGCAGTGAACTCATTCATGGTTTCAATTACAATGGCACAGCATGAAAACAGGGTTTCAATTACAGCAGTGAACTCATTCATGGTTTCAATTACAAGAGACACATGAAACACTTACAGCAGTGAACTCATTCATGGTTTCAATTACAAGGGACACATGAAACACTTACAGCAGTGAACTCATTCATGGTTTCAATTACAAGGCACACATGAAACACTTACAGCAGTGAACTCATTCATGGTTTTTCATTACAGCAGAGGACACATGAAACACTTACAGCAGTGAACTCATTCATGGTTTCATTACAAGGCACACATGAAACACTTACAGCAATTGAACATCATTCATGCAGTTTCAATTCAACAAGAGACACATGAAACACTTACAGCAGTGAACTCATTCATGTTTTCAATTACAACGTAATGAGTCAAAGTAGTTTCATAGATTCATAAACATAATGAGTCAAAGTAAGTTTCATAGACAGATTCGTAAATGTAAAAGTAGTTTCATAGACAGATTCATAAACTTAATGAGTCAAAGTAGTTTCATAGACAGATTCATAAACGTAATAAGTCAAAGTAGTTTCATAGATTCATAAACATAATGGGTCAAAGTAGTCTTATAGACAGATTCATAAACGTAATGAGTCAAAGTAGTTTCATAGATTCATAAACATAATGAGTCAAAGTAGTCTTATAGACAGATTCATAAACGTAATGAGTCAAAGTAGTTTCATAGATTCATAAACATAATGAGTAGTTTCATAAACAGATTCATGCATTTAAAGCTTTGCTTTATTCTTTGTTTCTATTCTCCCAGCTCTATGTTTTTTTTTCATGCTCATCTTTACACATTTGTCATTTTCCCTTTAGGTCTCTTTTTTCATTTACCTCATACCAAATGTGAATTGTTTACCTCATACCAAAAAGTGAATTGTTTACCTCATACCAAAAAGTGAATTGTTTACCTCACACTTAATGTGAATTGTTTACCTCACACTTAATGTGAATTGTTTACCTCACACTTAATGTGAATTGTTTACCTCATACCAAAAAGTGAATTGTTTACTCCACACTTAATGTGAATTGTTTACCTCATACTAAATGTGAATTGTTTACCTCATACTAAATGTGAATTGTTTACCTCATACCAAAAAGTGAATTGTTTACCTCACACTTAATGTGAATTCTTTACCTCATACTAAATGTGAATTGTTTACCCCATACCAAAAAGTGAATTGTTTACCCCATACCTAATGTGAACTGTTTACCTCATACCTAATGTGAATTCTTTACCTCATACCAAAAAGTGAATTGTTTACCTTACCTCACACCAAATGTGAATTGTTTACCTTATACCAAAAACTTAGCCCCCCTCTTACAGCATAAGACAATCCCAATCAGCACAAAGAGACATCTTATTCAAAGCATATTTATTCTAACTCTGTGCTACCAGTGCCAGACATGGTCACTCACAACAAACCATAAAAGAAAATTAGTAACCACAGAAATGAGCTGTCTGAGAAGGGCTGTAAAAGTGACCATAAGAGATAAGATCAGGAATGAGATCATAAGAGAAAAGGTCGGCACAGAACCAATTCTGGATTACATACAAAGACAGCAAGTGAAATGGTTTGCCCACTTAGAGAGAATGCCTTGTGACACCATACCATACAAAGCATACATGGAAAGAGAAGAAGGACGTAGAGCACGGGGTAGACCAAGAACAAGATGGAAGGATAACATCAGAGAAACTCTACAACAGCACGATGTGCCTATGGTCAAGGTAGCCAGAAGAGCTAAAAACAGAACCTTATATCTCCCTCGACACCCACAGCGGTAAAAGAGGAAGTGAAGAAGAAGAAGAAGAAGATACGAATAACTGAATTGTTCACCTTACCTTGTACCAAATGTGAATTGTTAACCTTATACCAAATGTTAACTGTTTACCTTATACCAAAAACTGAATTGTTTACCTTACCTTGTACCTAATGTGAATTCTTTACTTCATACTAAATGTGAATTGTTTACCTCATAACAAAAAGTGAATTGTTTACCCCACACTTTATGTGAATTCTTTACCTCATACTAAATGTGAATTGTTTACCTCATACCAAAAAGTGAATTGTTTACCTCACACTTAATGTGAATTCTTTACCTCATACTAAATGTGAAGTGTTTACCTCATACCAAAAAGTGAATTGTTTACCTTATACCAAAAAGTGAATTGTTTACCTTATACGAAAAAGTGAATTGTTTACCACATACCAAAAAGTGAATTGTTTACCTTATACCAAAAAGTGAATTGTTTACCTTATACCAAAAAGTTAATTGTTTACCTTATACCAAAAAAGTTAATTGTTTACCACATACCAAAAAGTGAATTGTTTACCTTATTCCAAAAAGTGAATTGTTTACCTTATACCAAAATGTGAATTGTTTACCACATACCAAAAAGTGAATTATTTACCATATACCAAAAAGTGAATTATTTACCTTATACCAAAATGTGAATTGTTTACCTTATACCAAATGTGAATTGTTTACCTTATACCAATTGTGAATTGTTTACCTTATACCAAATGTGAATTGTTCACCTTATACCAAAAGTGAATTGTCGAGATTACAAGAAATATTGACAGTTTTATACACTAAACTGGGTTTAAATCTTGCATGAAAAGAAGGCTTTTTTTAAAAATCTTTAGTTTCACAAATTAGAAAATTTTGAATTGATGGGATTGTACAACATTAAGCCCTGCAACAATCGGACACATCTGATAACTTGTAGTAAAGTGACCAGCTGACCACAAATGCTCAGACAGATGACCGACCTGTAAGTGTTTGTTTTGTCCATCACACATCCTGGCCATGACCTTGAGCACCAGTTCAATGTAGCCATCATTACGATATTCAAAAGCTGATGTATCAGTGGTCACTGATTCTGACTCCTGCTCCTAAATACAGAAGACAAAAATTGCATCTAAAGCTATGGTTGAAAACATAAATGTTTATTAAAATGTCATGTAGGTGGTCACCATAAATGTTTACTGACACTGACTAAATGTCATGTAGGTGGTCACCATAAATGTGTACTGACACTGACTAAATGTCATGAGGGTGGTCACCATAAATGTTTACTGACACTGACTAAATGTCATGAGGGTGGTCACCATAAATGTTTACTGACACTAACTAAATGTCATGTAGGTGGTCACCATAAATGTTTACTGACACTGACTAAATGTCATGAGGGTGGTCACCATAAATGTTTACTGACACTGACTAAATGTCATGTAGGTGGTCACCATAAATGTTTACTGACACTGACTAAATGTCATGAGGGTGGTCACCATAAATGTTTACTGACACTGACTAAATGTCATGAGGGTGGTCACCATAAATGTTTACTGACACTGACTAAATGTCATTGTAGGTGGTCACCAAATAAATGTTTACTGACACTGACTAAATTATACCATGTAGGTGGTCACCATATAAATGTTTACTGACACTGACTAAATGTCATGTAGGTGGTCACCATAAATGTTTACTGACACTGACTAAATCTTTCATGAGGGTGGTCACCATAAATGTTTACTGACACTGACTATGGGATTGTACAACATGAGGGTGGTCGGACACATAAACTTGTAGTACTGACACTGACTAAATGTCATGAGGGTGGTCACCATAAATGTTTACTGACACTGACTAAATGTCATGAGGGTGGTCACCACATTAAATGTTTACTGACACTGACTAATGTCATGTAAGGTGGTCACCATAAACGTTTACTGACACTGACTAAATGTCATGAGGGTGGTCACCATAATGTTTACTGACACTGACTAAATGTCATGTAGGTGGTCGCCATAAAATGTTTACTGTCACTGACTAAATGTCATGAGGTGGTCACCATAAATGTTTACTGACACTGACTAAATGTCATGTAGGTGGTCACCATAAATGTTTACTGACACTGACTAAATGTCATGTAGGTGGTCACCATAAATGTTTACTGACACTGACTAAATGTCATGAGGGTGGTCACCATAAATGTTTACTGACACTGACTAAATGTCATGTAGGTGGTCACCATAAATGTTTACTGACACTGACTAAATGTCATGTAGGTGGTCACCATAAATGTTTACTGACACTGACTAAATGTCATGTAGGTGGTCACCATAAATGTTTACTGACACTGACTAAATGTCATGTAGGTGGTCACCATAAATGTTTACTGACACTGACTAAATGTCATGTAGGTGGTCACCATAAATTTTTACTGACACTGACTAAATGTCATGTAGGTGGTCACCATAAATGTTTACTGACACTGACTAAATGTCATGTAGGTGGTCACCATAAATGTTTACTGACACTGACTAAATGTCATGTAGGTGGTCGCCATAAATTTTTACTGACACTGACTAAATGTCATGTAGGTGGTCACCATAAATTTTTACTGACAAATGTTGAATGTTGAATTAAGAATTGACATCAGAGCACTCGGGACACCTCCATAAGCACTCCGTCCCCATTTTCAACAGCAAGCGAACAATTGAAGTTCTGATGGTACCAGTAACTGTCTGATCGTATATCCGTCTTGCCTTTTTCCCTGAGTGTCGAGCATTGGCCAAATCCCCTTGTAACTCCATGCAGTGCCATTCTCCTCTGACCGCAATGATTTATTTGTGCCTAGGCACTGTTCACTGGCTCCCAAAGGCCCTCGCAACATGCAGCTTGTCATACATCAGTTCACCACCAAGTGGTGCAGAACCAGCCAGTCTGTCTGCCTGCTCATTTCCCAACACACCGGCATAACCTACAGAAAATATCAAAGGATACTAACTACCCGGGACCTTTGAAGTAAAGTGATGCTTGCCACTCTGCACGGAGCATGCCTGTCTCCACCTTTCTCAACATGCTCTCTGAGTCACTTACAATGACGGCATGCGTGTATGGTTGCTGATATTGACAGAATGACTAAATGTCATCTAGGTGGTCGCCACAAATGAGCATGAGCAGCATTATACATTCCAGGACACAGCAGATTCAGTGTAGGCAGATACTAGATGTGGTGGAAAGATTCCCAGGTGGTATACATGGCAGGAAGATTTTGTGTAAAAGGGTGGTAGGCATGGCTGGAAGATTTGGTGTAAAAGGGTGGTCGGCATGGCAGGAAGATTTGTTGTAAAAGGGTGGTAGGCATAGCAGGAAGATTTGTTGTAAAAGGGTGGTAGGCATGGCTGGAAGATTTGTTGTAAAAGGGTGGTCGGCATGGCAGGAAGATTTGGTGTAAAAGGGTGGTCGGCATGGCAGGAAGATTTGGTGTAAAAAGATGGTAGGCATGGCAGGAAGATTTGTTGTAAAAGGGTGGTAGGCATGGCAGGAAGATTTGTTGTAAAAGGGTGGTAGGCATGGCAGGAAGATTTGGTGTAAAAGGGTGGTAGGCATGGCTGGAAGATTTGTTGTAAAAGGGTGGTAGGCATGGCAGGAAGATTTGGTGTAAAAGGGTGGTCCGCATGGCAGGAAGATTTGTTGTAAAAAGATGGTAGGCATGGCAGGAAGATTTGTTGTAAAAGGGTGGTAGGCATGGCAGGAAGATTTGTTGTAAAAGGGTTGTAGGCATGGCAGGAAGATTTGTTGTAAAAGGGTGGTAGGCATGGCAGGAAGATTTGGTGTAAAAGGGTGGTAGGCATGGCTGGAAGATTTGTTGTAAAAGGGGGGTAGGCATGGCTGGAAGATTTGTTGTAAAAGGGTGATAGGCATGGCAGGAAGATTTGTTGTAAAAGGGTGGTAGGCATGGCAGGAAGATTTGGTGTAAAAGGGGGGTAGCCTTTGCAGGAAGATTTGGTGCAAAAAGATGGTAGGCATGGCAGGAAGATTTGGTGTAAAATTCCATAATTGCAGGGACTGTGCACAATTCATTATATCATTTTGCTCTGAAGCTCATCAATCCACTAACAAATCATCTATCACAAATCATATATCACAAATCATCTATCACAAATCATCTATCACAAATCATGTGTCACAAATCCTGGATGGCAGGAATAAGCAAAATGCCAGTCTTCTCTAAAACTGTGCCAAGGACAATGTTTGTGTAGCCAGGACAATGTTTGCGTAGCCAGGACAATGTTTGCGTAGCCAGGACAATGTTTATGTAGCCAGGACAATGTTTGTGTAGCCAGGACAATGTTTGTGTAGCCAGGACAATGTTTGTGTAGCCAGGACAATGTTTGTGTAGCCAGGACAATATTTGTGAAGCCAGGACAATGTTTGTGTAGCCAGGATAATGTTTGTGTAGCCAGGACAATGTTAGTGTAGGCAGGACAATGTTTGTGTAGCCAGGACAATGTTAGTGTAGGCAGGACAATGTTTGTGTAGCCAGGACAATGTTTGTGTAGCCAGGACAATGTTTGTGTAGGCAGGACAATGTTTGTGTAGCCAGGACAATGTTTGTGTAGCCAGGACAATGTTTGTGTAGCCAGGACAATGTTGGTGTAGCCAGGTATTCCTATGTTGGACAATAACCATGTTGTTTTACAGAAGCACACCCTGACCTCATCAATTACTGACCTAACTACCTAAAAACAAAAAAGCTAAGATATCAAAATCTCTTGATCCCGTTATGAGATGAAAAGGTAGAAATAGAATACAGGGAGAGAAGATGAGGTAGCTGTTTGATTAAGCATGGGATAATGTAGCACATCAACTGATACATGCTGCTGGTGACACAAGACTGTCCACATCAACTGATACACGCTGCTGGTGACACAAAACTGTCCACATCAGCTGATACATGCTGCTGGTGACACAAGACTGTCCACATCAGCTGATACACGCTGCTGGTGAAACAAGACTGTCCACATCAACTGATACATGCTGCTGGTGACACAAGACTGTCCACATCAACTGATACATGCTGCTGGTGAAACAAGACTGTCCACATCAACTGATACATGCTGCTGGTGACACAAGACTGTCCACATCAACTGATACACGCTGCTGGTGACACAAGACTGTCCACATCAACTGATACATGCTGCTGGTGAAACATGACTGTCCACATCAACTGATACACGCTGCTGGTGAAACATGACTGTCCACATCAACTGATACATGCTGCTGGTGAAACAAGACTGTCCACATCAGCTGATACATGCTGCTGGTGAAACATGACTGTCCACATCAGCTGATACATGCTGCTGGTGACACAAGACTGTCCACATCAGCTGATACATGCTGCTGGTGAAACATGACTGTCCACATCAACTGATACATGCTGCTGGTGAAACAAGACTGTCCACATCAACTGATACATGCTGCTGGTGACACAAGACTGTCCACATCAGCTGATACACGCTGCTGGTGAAACAAGACTGTCCACATCAGCTGATACATGCTGCTGGTGACACAAGACTGTCCACATCAGCTGATACATGCTGCTGGTGACACAAGACTGTCCACATCAGCTGACACATGCTGCTGGTGAAACAAGACTGTCCACATCAGCTGATACATGCTGCTGGTGACACAAGACTGTCCACATCAGCTGATACACGCTGCTGGTGAAACAAGACTGTCCACATCAGCTGATACACGCTGCTGGTGACACAAGACTGTCCACATCAGCTGATACACGCTGCTGGTGAAACAAGACTGTCCACATCAGCTGATACATGCTGCTGGTGACACAAGACTGTCCACATCAGCTGATACATGCTGCTGGTGACACAAGACTGTCCACATCAACTGATACATGCTGCTGGTGAAACATGACTGTCCACATCAGCTGATACATGCTGCTGGTGACACAAGACTGTCCACATCAGCTGATACATGCTGCTGGTGAAACATGACTGTCCACATCAACTGATACATGCTGCTGGTGACACAAGACTGTCCACATCAGCTGACACAGCACTGGATATCTGTCTACAGGATGTTTGAGCCAGTTCCATGTTGGCCCTTCTTGGTGGTCCAGCTCCTGTGACTCTCTCAGATGAACTTGTCTGGGTGTCCTGATGAAGTCATTACATGCAACCACAGACTCAAATAGAACAGAACTGTAAAGCTGCTAGGATCTATCAACAACTCATGGATTGTAACCTCAAGTAAAATCACATACCTGAATCTTACCCACCACATCTGTCTCTCCCCCAGCTTGCATCAGTGCTTCCTTTTCCTTGACCTTTGGGTTCACAAACGTTACTTCCTTTTTCAAAATGCCCCCATTGTTGGAGCCATCTTTCTTGTCTGCAAGTTTTTTAGGCTTAATACTGAGAGACTTCTCTTTGAGGCTTTTCTCTGGAGTTTTGGGGGCAGCTTTCTGAGACTTGGCATTCTTCTTGGATGGAGCTTTCACACAGGATTTGGTTGTCCTTCTTGTCTGAATGCAAGAGATGGGAGAGAAAAGCTAGTTGCTCAAGTGTCATTCAAAAACATTCTTCAGGCTAAAGATATTTTCTGTCTGTCACAACTAGAATAGTTTTATGTCACTTCACTTAATCAGTAAAGGTGGCATGTGTGTGTGTCTGTCACAGCTAGAATAGTTTTATGTCACTTCACTTAATCAGTAAAGGTGGCATGTGTGTGTTTGTGTCTGTCACAACTAGAATAGTTTTATGTCACTTCACTTAATCAGTAAAGGTGGCATGTGTGTGTGTGTCTGTCACAACTAGAATAGTTTTATGTCACTTCACTTAATCAGTAAAGGTGGCATGTGTGTGTTTGTGTCTGTCACAACTAGAATAGTTTTTTATGTCACTTCACTTAATCAGTAAAGGTGGCATGTGTGTGTGTGTCTGTCACAACTAGAATAGTTTTATGTCACTTCACTTAATCAGTAAAGGTGGCATGTGTGTGTTTGTGTCTGTCACAACTAGAATAGTTTTATGTCACTTCACTTAATCAGTAAAGGTGGCATGTGTGTGTGTCTGTCACAACTAGAATAGTTTTATGTCACTTCACTTAATCAGTAAAGGTGGCATGTGTGTGTGTTTGTGTCTGTCACAACTAGAATAGTTTTTATGTCACTTCACTTAATCAGTAAAGGTGGCATGTGTGTGTGTGTCTGTCACAACTAGAATAGTTTTATGTCACTTCACTTAATCAGTAAAGGTGGCATGTGTGTGTGTCTGTCACAACTAGAATAGTTTTATGTCACTTCACTTAATCAGTAAAGGTGGCATGTATGTGTGTGTGTTTGTGTGTGCTTGTGCGTGCATGCATGTGTGTGTGTGTGTGTGTGTACATATATCTGGTTTGTGTATTTGCACTCAATGTGTGTGTGTGTGTGTGTGTATACACATATCTGGTTTGTGTATTTGCACTCAATATTTGTGTGTGTATAACTAAAGTGACCTACTTAACCTTGCAAACAGACTCAGAGCTGCTGTGTGTCTCCACTACTGGAGCTCTCCTGTCTCTTGTACCTACTGGACCACCGTTTGTTCAGGCTAACAGCTCAATTATTGCACATTCTATGTTACATGGCTTTTAGCCTTAAATGAGTCACAAGAAATATCCTGGAAAGTAAAGGCAGTCAATACAATGTTTGTTGATGACTTTCCTGGAATGCTGATTTGTCTGGCAACATAAGCCTTACGTGACAACAGCATAAAAATGGATCCTTTACTTAATGTAGTGAAATATGGCTCCTATTGCATAAGATCTCAACAGAATAATGTGTGTTCTAAAGATCCAAGCAATGGAACTTTAGATGAAAGAAGCAACTTTTACAAATATCTTATGTAACTTTGATGCAGGTATATCAAAACTGTAAAGATGACTGTAATGTAGATATTACCCAGCCGCTCAGTCTCTGCTGTCTCATTGCATCCTCATAAGCTTGAATTTGCTGTGAAACAGTCAAAACACACACTTGAAGATGAATTGCATGGTAGTTACATATATAACATCAGTGAGCAGACAGATATGTAGGTAAATAAAAAAATAAAGAAAAGGAGATATGTATGAATGAAGCGCCACAAAAGTGCATTCAGGCCCATCTTACAGTCAGCACTTCTAATCACTTATCTTTCACACAGCAAATATACAGACTGTCAATCTGAAACCCTTTCCAATGAAATCATTACAAAAGCATGACAGAAACAACAGGTGTAGCAGAATCAAACAAAACATTTTCAGGGTGGGTGGGGGTGGGGGGGGGGGGCGGTGTGAGTTATGCACATTGGGTTGGTCATAAAGACTGGGCATTCATGCAAGCATCCTATATTCAACAAAGCACACAATTGTGTGTGGTGTCGCACAAAAGGCTTCAAATGAACTTTCTCATACAACTGGTTTTATGCATGTCAAATCAAATGATAACTGCACATACCCAGCAAACATGTTAAGGCTATGTGTACCCAAATGTGTCTGTACACATTTCTATATGCTCATTCACACAGGTAATTACACATATATGCAGACAAGTAAACAGTTATGTATGTAAAATGGGCAGTTATAGAAGATGTGTACAGAAAACGCTGTAGAAAAAATGTGTACAGAAAACACTGTAGAAAAGATGTGTACAGAAAAAACTGCAGATAAGATGTGTACAGAAAACACTGTAGATTCTATGTGTACAGAAAACACTGAAGATAAGTTGTGTACAGAAAACACTGTAGAAAAGATGTGTACAGAAAACACTGTAGAAAAGATGTGTACAGAAAACACTGTAGAAAAGATGTGTACAAAAAACACTGTAGAAAAGATGTGTACAGAAAACACTGTAGAAAAGATGTGTACAGAAAACACTGTAGAAAAGATGTGTACAGAAAACACTGTAGAAAAGATGTGTACAGAAAACACTGTAGAAAAGATGTGTACAGAAAACACTGTAGAAAAGATGTGAACAGAAAACACTGTAGAAAAGATGTGTACAGAAAACACTGAAGATAAGTTGTGAACAGAAATCACTGAAGATAAGATGTGTACATAAAAAAACTGTAGATAAGATGTGTTCAAAAAACACTACATGCTCCATGATCTTGTTGTCCTACCATGAGAGCCACTTACCCTGAGAGCCACTTACCCTGAGAGCCATCAGTGTCACCATGAACATACTCTTTGTTCTTTTACTGTCAGAAGATTCCTTGAGCTTGGCTTCATGCTGGGTTTGTAGAGACCGTCTACATATGGCAGAGGAACACAAAACAAACAATGTACCGTCTACAGATGGCAGTGGAAGACAAAACAAACAATGAACCATCTACAGATGGCAGAGGAACACAAAACAAACAATGTACCGTCTACAGATGACAGAGGAAGACAAAACAAACAATGTACCATCTACAGATGACAGAGGAAGACAAAACAAACAATGTACCGGCTATAAATGACAGAGGAAGACAAAACAAACAATGTACTGTCTACAGATGGCAGAGGAAGACAAAACAAACAATGTACCGTCTATAGATGGCAGTGGAAGACAAAACAAACAATGTACCATATACAGATGGCAGAGGAAGACAAAACAAACAATGTACATTATTCACAGGTGACTTGTCTGGTTCCGTTCAGACGCTGGCATTGGTGAATCCTCTTCTGTTGTGTATGAACTAATGCAGAGAGCAAGAGAGGGCAGTCAGAGAACTGTGAGACCAGAACATCCACATTGCTGACAAGGCTGCAAAAACTGGATATAAATATCAACCCAGCCAGGCACACCAGAAATAACTCTTTCAGTGCGAGAAAATTTTGTGACATGCCAGTGGAATTCATACCCATAAAGATAGGTCTGTAACTTACAATGAGGCAGCATTTATAGGACTACATTTTATCTGGCCAGATTTCTGTGGTATGCTCAGTCAAAATGTACATAATACAAAAATACCATGCATCTATGGAGACATTAGAGCAATAGCTGAACACACACATGGGTTAACTGCTGGAGATCTATGACCTGCTCTATACAACTGCTGCAGATCTATGACTTGATCTATACAACTGCTGCACATCTATAACCTGCTCTATAGAACTGCTGCAGATCTATAACCTGCTCTATACAACTGCTGCACATCTATAACCTACTCTATACAACTGCTGCAGATCTATAACCTGCTCTATACAACTGCTGCACATCTATAATCTGCTCTATACAACTGCTGCACATCTATAATCTGCTCTATACAACTGCTGCACATCTATAACCTGCTCTATACAACTGCTGCACATCTATAATCTGCTCTATACAACTGCTGCACATCTATAACCTGCTCTATACAACTGCTGCAGATCTATAACCTGCTCTATACAACTGCGGCAGATCTATAATCTGCTCTATACAACTGCTGCACATCTATAACCTGCTCTATACAGCTGCTGCACATCTATAATCTGCTCTATAGAACTGCTGCACATCTATAATCTGCTCTATACAACTGCTGCACATCTATAACCTACTCTATACAACTGCTGCACATCTATAACCTGCTCTATACAACTGCTGCAGATCTATAACCTGCTCTATACAACTGCTGCACATCTATAATCTGCTCTATACAGCTGCTGCAGATCTATAATCTGCTCTATACAACTGCTGCAGATCTATAATCTGCTCTATACAACTGCTGCACATCTATAACCTGCTCTATACAGCTGCTGCAGATCTATAACCTACTCTATACAACTGCGACACATCTATAACCTGCTCTATACAACTGCTGCACATCTATAATCTGCTCTATACAACTGCTGCACATCTATAACCTACTCTATACAACTGCTGCACATCTATAATCTACTCTATACAACTGCTGCACATCTATAACCTACTCTATACAACTGCTGCAGATCTATAACCTGCTCTATACAACTGCTGCACATCTATAACCTGCTCTATACAACTGCTGCACATCTATAACCTACTCTATACAACTGCTGCACATCTATAATCTGCTCTATACAACTGCTGCACATCTATAACCTGCTCTATACAACTGCTGCACATCTATAACCTGCTCTATACAACTGCTGCACATCTATAACCTGCTCTATACAACTGCTGCACATCTATAATCTGCTCTATACAACTGCTAAACATCTATAACCTACTCTATACAACTGCTGCACATCTATAACCTGCTCTATACAACTGCTGCACATCTATAATCTGCTCTATACAACTGCTGCACATCTATAACCTGCTCTATACAACTGCTGCACATCTATAATCTGCTCTATACAACTGCTGCACATCTATAACCTGCTCTATACAACTGCTGCACATCTATAACCTACTCTATACAACTGCTGCACATCTATAACCTACTATATACAACTGCTGCACATCTATAATCTGCTCTATACAACTGCTGCACATCTATAACCTGCTCTATACAGCTGCTGCAGATCTATAACCTACTCTATACAACTGCTGCACATCTATAACCTGCTCTATACAACTGCTGCACATCTATAATCTGCTCTATACAACTGCTGCACATCTATAATCTGCTCTATACAACTGCTGCACATCTATAACCTGCTCTATACAACTGCTGCACATCTATAACCTACTCTATACAACTGCTGCACATCTATAACCTACTATATACAACTGCTGCACATCTATAATCTGCTCTATACAACTGCTGCACACATCTATAACCTGCTCTATACAGCTGCTGCAGATCTATAACCTACTCTATACAACTGCTGCACATCTATAACCTGCTCTATACAACTGCTGCACATCTATAATCTGCTCTATACAACTGCTGCACATCTATAATCTGCTCTATACAACTGCTGCACATCTATAACCTACTCTATACAACTGCTGCACATCTATAACCTGCTCTATACAACTGCTGCACATCTATAACCTGCTCTATACAACTGCTGCACATCTATAACCTACTCTATACAACTGCTGCACATCTATAACCTGCTCTATACAACTGCTGCACATCTATAATCTGCTCTATACAACTGCTGCACATCTATAACCTGCTCTATACAACTGCTGCACATCTATAATCTGCTCTATACAACTGCTGCAGATCTATAACCTGCTCTATACAACTGCTGCACATCTATAATCTGCTCTATACAACTGCTGCACATCTATAATCTGCTCTATACAACTGCTGCACATCTATAATCTGCTCTATACAACTGCTGCACATCTATAATCTGCTCTATACAACTGCTGCACATCTATAATCTGCTCTATACAACTGCTGCACATCTATAATCTGCTCTATAGAACTGCTGCAGATCTATAACCTGCTCTATACAACTGCTGCACATCTATAATCTGCTCTATACAACTGCTGCACATCTATAATCTGCTTTATACAACTGCTGCACATCTATAATCTGCTCTATACAACTGCTGCACATCTATAACCTGCTCTATACAACTGCTGCACATCTATAACCTGCTCTATACAGCTGCTGCAGATCTATAATCTGCTCTATACAACTGCTGCACATCTATAACCTGCTCTATACAACTGCTGCACATCTATAATCTGCTCTATACAACTGCTGCACATCTATAATCTGCTCTATACAACTGCTGCACATCTATAATCTGCTCTATACAACTGCTGCACATCTATAATCTGCTCTATACAACTGCTGCACATCTATAACCTGCTCTATACAGCTGCTGCAGATCTATAATCTGCTCTATACAACTGCTGCACATCTATAACCTGCTCTATACAACTGCTGCACATCTATATTCTGCTCTATACAACTGCTGCACATCTATAACCTGCTCTATACAACTGCTGCACATCTATAACCTGCTCTATACAACTGCTGCACATCTATAATCTGCTCTATACAACTGCTGCACATCTATAACCTGCTCTATACAACTGCGGCAGATCTATAATCTGCTCTATACAACTGCTGCACATCTATAATCTGCTCTATACAACTGCAAACAAATGTGTTTATGTGTTATTGTGATTGCTAATTGTATTTGACAACAAAAATACACACACAAAACTCCAAAGAACAATTTCTTTCATGTTAAAAAGAACAAAGCTCACTTTTCCTTGATGGAGTTTGTGGACAGAGCCATTCGATCTCTGACAGCCATAAAGAACACTTCCTCACGTGTAGAGAAAAAGTAGGTCAGCATGGATTGCTGGAAATTTGAAAAACAAGTTTTAGTAGAAGTCTTTTTTGAAACTGAAAAGGTTTCATTTAAGACAACATGATATACCGAGAAACAGATCTGGTTATAAACTCTTAAGTTCACAATGCTAAAAAATATTACATTGCTTTGCTTGTGGGCAATTTCTTTTAGATAACCAGGCCCTACTGGACCTAAATATGTCCATTTTCCCAATAGATGACAATGTCTGTCAGATAACCAGGCCCTACTGGACCTAAATATGTCCATTTTCCCAATAGATGACAATTTCTTTCAGATAACCAGGCCATACTGGACCTAAATATGTCAATTTTCCCAATAGATGACAATGTCTGTCAGATAACCAGGCCCTACTGGACCTAAATATGTCCATTTTGCCAATAGATGACAATGTCTGTCAGATAACTAGGCCATACTGGACCTAAATATGTCAATTTTCCCAACAGATGACAATGTCTGTCAGATAACTAGGCCATACTGGACCTAAATATGTCCATTTTGCCAATAGATGACAATGTCTGTCAGATAACCAGGCCATACAGGACCTAAATATGTCAATTTTCCCAATAGATGACAATGTCTGTCAGATAACCAGGCCCTACTGGACCTAAATATGTCCATTTTGCCAATAGATGACAATGTCTGTCAGATAACTAGGCCATACTGGACCTAAATATGTCAATTTTCCCAACAGATGACAATGTCTGTCAGATAACCAGGCCCTACTGGACCTAAATATGTCCATTTTCCCAACAGATGACAATGTCTGTCAGATAACCAGGCCATACTGGACCTAAATATGTCAATTTTCCCATTAGATGACAATGTCTGTCAGAGGTCAAGGTCAAACATTTACCAACATGATGCAGAATAAAGGTCTATGTCGTAGCTCGCATTATCTATGACATTGGGCTCTTGGTACCGGGCCCATATCTTTAGACTAACTGACAGTCTGGTACTTGTTTTAGTAGATGCTAATCCATCTGGTAGTTCAAGCTCATTTTAAATACTCCCCATGTAGAAAGAATTTGAACGTGTGATTCCAAGTGTCGCATAGCCCCCCCCCCCCCCCCCCCCCGGTGGGTTCCGAGGCCCCATTGTAGGGAAAACAAGAATAGACCCACTGCCTCCCCAAAAGCATGTCGTAAGAGTCGACTAATTGGGGAGCTTCCTTTGAAGTCGGAGTGCATCTACCAGAGAGGCAAGGAACCAACAGTCTGTATTCAAGAGAATGTGATCTGTAAAACTGATGCACATGCAACACTCAGGTTCTGGAGCAGGACTGCAGTTCGGTAGTGGACGAGCAACCAGAACTTTCCGCCAGAGTGTACAGCTGGTGAACGCGAAGAAGAAGAAGAAGAAAAAGAAGAAGAAGAAGAAGAAGAAGAAGAAGAAGAAGAAGAAGAAGAAGAAGAAGAAGAAGAAGAAGAAGAAGAAGAAGAAGAAGAAGAAGAAGAAGAAGAAGAAGAAGAAGAAGAAAGAAGAAGAAGAAGAAAAGAAGAAGAAGAAGAAGAAGAAGAAGAAGAAGAAGAAGAAGAAGAAGAAGAAGAAGAAGAAGAAGAAGAAGAAGAAGAAGAAGAAGAAGAAGAAGAAGAAGAGAAGAAGAAGAAGAAGAAGAAGAAAGAAGAAGAAGAAAAGAAGAAGAAGAAGAAGAAGAAGAAGAAGAAGAAGAAGAAGAAGAAGAAGAAGAAGAAGAAGAAGAAGAAGAAGAAGAGAAGAAGAAGAAGAAGAAGAAGAAGAAGAAGAAGAAGAAGAAGAAGAAGAAGAAGAAGAAGAAGAAGAAGAAGAAGAAGAAGAAGAAGAAGAAGAAGAAGAAGAAGAAGAAGAAGAAGAAGAAGAAGAAGAAGAAGAAGAAGAAGAAGAAGAAGAAGAAGAAGAAGAAGAAGAAGAAGAAGAAGAAGAAGAAGAAGAAGAAGAAGAAGAAGAAGAGAAGAAGAAGAAGAAGAAGAAGAAGAAGAAGAAGAAGAAGAAGAAGAAGAAGAAGAAGAAGAAAGAAGAAGAAGAAGAAGAAGAAGAAGAAGAAGAAGAAGAAGAAGAAGAAGAAGAAGAAGAAGAAGAAGAAGAAGAAGAAGAAGAAGAAGAAGAAGAAGAAGAAGAAGAAGAAGAAGAAGAAGAAGAAGAAGAAGAAGAAGAAGAAGAAGAAGAAGAAAAGAAGAAGAAGAAAGAAGAAGAAGAAGAAGAAGAAGAAGAAGAAGAAGAAGAAGAAGAAGAAGAAGAAGAAGAAGAAGAAGAAGAAGAAGAAGAAGAAGAAGAAGAAGAAGAAGAAGAAGAAGAAGAAGAAGAAGAAGAAGAAGAAGAAGAAGAAGAAGAAGAAGAAGAAGAAGAAGAAGAAGAAGAAGAAGAAGAAGAAGAAGAAGAAGAAGAAGAAGAAGAAGAAGAAGAAGAAGAAGAAGAAGAAGAAGAAGAAGAAGAAGAAGAAGAAGAAGAAGAAGAAGAAGAAGAAGAAGAAGAAGAAGAAGAGAAGAAGAAGAAGAAGAAGAAGAAGAAGAAGAAGAAGAAGAAGAAGAAGAAGAAGAAGAAGAAGAAGAAGAAGAAGAAGAAGAAGAAGAAGAAGAAGAAGAAGAAGAAGAAGAAGAAGAAGAAGAAGAAGAAGAAGAAGAAGAAGAAGAAGAAGAAGAAGAAGAAGAAGAGAAGAAGAAGAAGAAAGAAGAAAGAAGAAGAAGAAGAAGAAGAAGAAGAAGAAGAAGAAGAAGAAGAAGAAGAAGAAGAAGAAGAAGAAGAAGAAGAAGAAAGAAGAAGAAGAAGAAGAAGAAGAAGAAGAAGAAGAAGAAGAAGAAGAAGAAGAAGAAGAAGAGAAGAAGAAGAAGAAGAAGAAGAAGAAGAAGAAGAAGAAGAAGAAGAAGAAGAAGAAGAAGAAGAAGAAGAAGAAGAAGAAGAAGAAGAAGAAGAAGAAGAAGAAGAAGAAGAAGAAGAAGAAGAAGAAGAAGAAGAAGAAGAAGAAGAAGAAGAAGAAGAAGAAGAAGAAGAAGAAGAAGAAGAAGAAGAAGAAGAAGAAGAAGAAGAAGAAGAAGAAGAAGAAGAAGAAGAAGAAGAAGAAGAAGAAGAAGAAGAAGAAGAAGAAGAAGAAGAAGAAGAAGAAGAAGAAGAAGAAGAAGAAGAAGAAGAAGAAGAAGAAGAAGAAGAAGAAGAAGAAGAAGAAGAAGAACAGCATCAACTCCCCTACCACAATAGACCTGCCGACAGTCTGGACACCCCCATACTAATTGGTGTATCTATAATCTCGGATAGTTCGTCCGTAGATATATAATTTCGTTTGTTGTTAGGGAGTCCAGCTGTGAGAAACATAGATGAATCACTCCTAAATTCATCCTTCTTGGCGTATAGTGTCAGTATGAATGATACAACACGATTTCTGCGCCTGTTCAAGCTTAATAGTTTGACCCCTTCACTGCAAGCTTGAGTCGTATCCTTGCCCAACGGCTGTAGTCAGGGACTCAGATTCTACACATAACTACTACTCAGTCTGTTCAAGTAGATAGATGTGTTGTGGCACTATGGCCACTTGACCGTTAATAACGAATCTGTGTTCTCTGAAAATATTCATCTGCATTGGTGAGTTTTTCTTAAAGTAAAATATATGTGTGTGCTCTGTGCCTTGTGTATGTGTTGGTTTGCGAGAAAAGGGTAAGGAGGATGATAACGCTGAATTGCATTTGACGAGAGGCGACAGAAACGCTGGAGAAAATGCACTTTCGGCTGAAATTTCTTCGTAAATTCTTCTAGCCTGCGTTCTAAACCTATTGGATTGATCAATCCACCTGTCTGGAGTGTCATTAATATCTTAAGAAACTTGTCTTATCTGATATGATCTTTTAATTGGTCTCTGAACTCAATGAGTCAGATGACCTAGGAAAGCATGACGTCACATCCGCCGTTGCTAGGAGCTTAACCAAAACAAACTCAGCATTTGGAAAAGCTTTTGGGATCTATTCTCCCATCCTGTCTTTAATATCCATCTTATCTACTTTATCTTTCTAACTGGTGTGGGATATATAGAGGGATGGGGACAGATAGGGATCTGATTGGCTTTAACTACGAAACAGGATTCAGAGACTGTTAGAATCAATAGAAGAGTCTGACTAACTCTATGACTCACTCTGAGAAACTGTAAGGGCTCCCGAGATGTACACAGTCAACTTTAATGGTGTAGACTAGCCCACATTTACCTCTGAGCACTTATGGAGAGCGGGAGGAGTGTGATTAGCAGGGTACATTAGGTGAGGTTTGCTCATGTGTGTGCCTTGATGTTTGCAGGATGTTGGAAGATCCAGCACATGTATGTGCGGTAGTCCAGTTCTCCAGCTAACTGTCAACTTGGAAGAAACCACCCAGTATTAGGCCATTCGCGAAGTCGATGCCAGCAAGTCTCTGAGAGGTCTTGGAAATCTTTCTACTGATGGTGGAGAGAAGCCGTAACACACATAGTTATTCTGGGAATCGGGAAGTTGAAGAGGTTTACTATTCGGTACATCAGAGGAGCTGCAGGACTTAATGCAGATAAGTGCAATCTTAAGAAATACCATAACAGCCAGAACCTGAATGCGCCCAAATATCTCTCTTCACTCTCCAGTCGATGATGAGCCAGGAAATGGCAGTGGTGACCTAGGAAGACCCATTCTCTAGTCTGAACTCTTTGAGAACATTATGAACTATCGTTCTGTGTCTCTTTGTTCCGCACTTCGTCTTTCTTTACCACAGTGACATTTTTACATTATGTTTCTTGTTCACAAGATTTCTTATTCCTGGAAGAAAGTTGCCTTGATGCAATTATTTGTCATAGTCAGAAGTGTATTCATGTCTTGTCAGACTTACTGTTGATTATATATTCGACTGTTTTATCGTTGCTTACCAGTCTGGGGGCAAAATTAGTAATGAGGATGTCTGGCCGAGTTGTACCCCAGAGTTTGTATTAACTCTTTGAGTCCCAAGGAATGCATCATACATTCATAGGTTCCTAGAAGCCCAATGAACGCATGATGTGCCGATTTTATGACTATATTTACCACCCCCTGGGCCTGTGATGCTTAAGACCCTGGGACTCAAAGAGTTAACCCTGTGGAGTCAGAGCTCGAGTCACCTCACTCCTGAGATAGGCTGAATGTATGTTTGAACCGAGGACTTGGCCTCTAGACAAACAAGAGCCAACATTCAGAATATCCTTATCTCAGAGTACCTGAGGATTTTAGGAAAATAATCCTTAAGTAACGGTACGTGACAAAAATGCCATACGACACCAAGCGAGTAGGCAGTGACCGAAGCCATCGGGCTACCACAGCTCCCTGCCCTAAGAGAACAGAACAGATTGAATCTATGATTGTCTGGAATATAGTAACTTAACTGTACCTAGTCAGAATCTATGTTGGAAGGGACTATGAATGCCTAATTCATAATTCAGACATATTAACGTTCACAGTCAGCTGTTGGTGATTTAGCAGCCAACTATCAGGTGTGTATTTCATCAACAGTATGCACATTGCTGGGAAAGCTAACTTAGGCAACAAATGCCTGCACATGTCTGATGTGTTAGCCATTAGGCATAAATATCACAGCCATGCTGTAATTGAGTACAACACATTGACATCTGTGGATATATGCAGAATAAAAAGTATGCACAATGAACAATTCAGAAAACAATGGTCAATTACTGAAAATAAGCAAAAAATAAAAATAACACTGCACAGCCAACAACTACTGCAACATCTGGACAGATTCACGATGCTACATTCTATCTAGCAGACACACAACAAAGATCAACAAAGTCTACCTGAACTGTGTTGTTGGCATTGAATAACATTATGCACAGAAACCCCAGCACCTCCTTGGCAATGAGATCATTCCTGGTGGCCAGGTGTGGCAGGGCCTTTCGGATGGCCCCCTTCTGGTCATACATATTCTGAATGGAGGCCACAAACTTCAGCCCTCTGTGTAGGAGAAAGCAATTGTACTCTCAACAACAAGGTTTCTACAGTTGACAATGATTTTTGGATGGTTTAACACTCTCTGGAACTTTCCCGTCACCTGGATATTCCAATCTTACCTGGATCTTTACATCATTCCCTCCATTTCTCAGATCTTGAGAGTCCTCTGCATCTGCCAATCATTTCTCAGATCTTTACACAGTCATCTGAATCTTTTACCATGTTTCATCTTTCTGATATATCCTGGAGTTTGCAAATAACAGATTCTGTTTTCACTGCTACAGTAATCCTTCCACCAGCCGCTTGATTTTTTTGTATCACTACAACGTCTTCCAACTATCACATTTTCTATCACAACAAGGTCTTCCAACTATCACATTTTCTATCACAACAAGGTCTTCCAACTATCACATTTTCTATCACAACAATGTCTTCCAACTATCACATTTTCTATCACAACAAGGTCTTCCAACTATCACATTTTCTATCACAACAAGGTCTTCCAGCTATCACATTTTCTATCACAACAAGGTCTTCCAGCTATCACATTTTTTATCACAACAAGGTCTTCCAACTAGGTCTTCCAACTATCACATTTTCTATCACTACAAGGTCTTCCAACTGTCACATTTTCTGTCACAACAAGGTCTTCCAACTATCACATTTTCTATCCCAACAAGGTCTTCCAACTATCACATTTTCTATTACAACAAGGTCTTCCAGCTGTCACATTTTCTATCACTACAAGGTCTTCCAACTATTACATTTCTATCACAACAAGGTCTTCCAACTATCACATTTTCTATCACAACAAGGTCTTCCAACTATCACATTTTCTATCACAACAAGGTCTTCCAACTATCACATTTTCTATCACAACAAGGTCTTCCAACTTTCACATTTTCTATCACAACAAGGTCTTCCTTTTTCACATTTTCTATCACAAGGTCTTCCAACTTTCACATTTTTGTCACTACAAGGTCTTCCAACTTTCACATGTTCTGTCACAAAAAGGTCTTCCAACTATCACATTTTCTATCACAACATGGTCTTCCAACTATCACATTTTCTATCACAACAAGGTCTTCCAACTATCACATTTTCTATCACAACAAGGTCTTCCAACTTTCACATTTTCTATCACAACAAGGTCTTCCTTTTTCACATTTTCTATCACAAGGTCTTCCAACTTTCATATTTTTGTCACTACAAGGTCTTCCAACTTTCACATGTTCTGTCACAAAAAGGTCTTCCAACTATCACATTTTCTATCACAACAAGGTCTTCCAACTATCACATTTTATATTACTTTATTCCACTTTGACTGCACCATAAGCTTTAATATTTGTAAAATGAATATCGCCACTGCCACATAGATGGCTACATCTTTGCCCAGTCATCAGGCAACCAGTATCAGATCACTGTCCTAGATCATGCTTCTCATTTCTTATAGCTCTAAAAAATACTCTGACTCCAGCCACAATAAAATCCAAAGTGCTCTTCTTATCTTTCAAAGAATATCAGAGCATAGACCCTTTACGGTTTTGTGTAGTCTTGTAATACACCATGTAGGAGTTAAAATACATTCACTAACTGAATCAATCAATGGACAGCAAATCATTCAGATGGATCTTGAACAATCTCAAGAGCATACCACAAGAACCACGACCTACTTTTCTATCTCATGCTCAGATGTCCTGGTTTCCCATCCTTCTGGTAGTCTCCGCTCCTCGTTGTGGATGATGGCTCGGAGAACCTGGAAGCACTTGATGTTGAGTTCATCCATCTCCAGGCGTGCAGCTTCTGTCAGCCGCTTGCACTCCAGGGAGATTCTAGACAAGAAAGTGGGTTTGAAATTCAAAAGTATTTTTCTGTAGTCAATGTTAATACTGTGGACACAAACAATACCCTGCACAATTTACTGCCTAGTATATTTCTCTGTATCTTGCAGGTGCATTACTATAAATCTAAATCAACATACAATGAAGGTGAAATAAATCCTTTTCATTTAAATACAGATTTCTCTAGATCAAACACTACATCTCACAACAAACAGCCAGTTGTTTACGGCAAAAGTTTAACGTTTACCACATGCTCTTTTTGTTTGCACAACCTGTGTCTGTTCCTTTTGCTTTTATTGTTGCAGCTTCTGCCAATTTCAGTTAAATAACACAGATGACACAGTCCCTATCAATTACATGCAAATAATCTCCTATAAAAAATATGGGTTCTTTCCTCTTGCTTAAACTTGCAGGGCAGGATCTCCATCCACTTGGGCTGATATGTTCCTCTGCTCATTTTCCAAGCTAACCCTAAATTTGACCGATGTTAACTGGCACTTACATTTAAATTGATACACACAGTTTAATTTGGCATAATGTTTTACAGGTGAAATTGTGAAATGGCAGCCCAAAATGACTGACATCAAATGGCAGCCCAAAATAATTGACCAACAGCTGCTTCTGGTTGATCCTACAGATGTTGCACAACACTGTCCCTCATAGAGGGTACACAAAGATACAAATGTTCTAACACAGTGACAGGGACATGGACACAGTAAACAACACAGAACTCACAACAGCTGGTCAATAAGCTTGGCTGCAGGAAGGAATCGCCTCTCGGGTTTTTTCTCACGAGTGTCAATAAAACATCGCACCAAGGTCTGAAACTCCTCTCCCAGCGGCAGCTCTTCATCTCCACCAATGATTGTGTAGGCTGCAGACACAATAGTTGAACCACGACCACTGAACATTTTCAAAACACACACTTGCATATTCATAAACACATCTGGAGGGTTTCGATTGTATTTTTTTTTTTTTTTTTTAAATCTCTCATTGGAGCACAGGCCCTCAAGCAGTCCTATCTGTTGCTTTCTCCTGAAGCTCCCCTCCTTGGCCTCCTCACAATATTCACTCTAACTGTAACCTCCCTCCATTTCATATGCCCTGTAGGTTTCAGACAAAGAGCATCCTAGTTATAGTAATATATGGTTTTATCAATATGTATAACATTTTAGATCCAAAATCTGGAGATTTTCCCAGGCAAAAACAGAAATGTTGTGTCTAAGGAAACTGTAAAATAGAAAGAAAAATGAAGGAAGACAAAAAATGAAACAGTCAAGATTGTCTGGACAGATGTCACATAAAATCTGAGATTGGTGATTATGTGAGACTGCACATTTACACACGGACTGAGCTCAGATTAACTGTATACAAGGTCAAACAGTTCAATCCTGGCTTCTTTCCACAGTATGAATATCAAATCAGTGCAAGGATCGGTAATCACACAGTAAATGTTTTTTCTCAGAAATACAAAGAGAAAGCCAAAGACATTTGCCTCAAAAATGAAATTCTTTTTTTTTTTTTCTTCAATCATATAAAGATGCGATCCTGGACAACGGAATGGGTGTTTCTGCAAAGCTGCAAAATATCCAGACTGGTGATTTAGTTTGGAAATACAAAACAGAAAATCACTCACGTCTCTTTGACTTGATTTTCAACTGGGCAGCTACTGTGTTGTGTCCTGCAAACACTGCAGAACAATTCTTGACGTATAATTTAAACTTGGCATTCAGCTCAACTTCTTGGGCATAGTACTCAATGTTTCCCTGCAAAAGAGAGCACAGTATTCAATTTTTCTCTAGAATAAAGATGGCATAGTGCTCATTTTTCCCCTAGAATAAAGACAGCATAGTACTCAATGTTTCCCTAGAATACAGGGCATAGTACTTAATGTTTCCCTAGCATACAGAGCATAGTACTCAATGTTTCCCTAGAATACAGAGCATAGTACTCAATGTTTCCCTAGAATACAGAGCATAGTACTCAATGTTTCCCTAGAATACAGAGCATAGTACTCAATGTTTCCCTAGAATACAGAGCATAGTACTTAATTTTTTCCTAGAATACAGAGCATAGTACTCAATAAAGTTTCCCTAGAATGTACAGCATAGCACTCAGTGTGTACCTAGAATATAGACAGCATTGTACTCAATATTTCCCTAGAATATAGAGCCTAGTGTTTAATGTTTCCCTAGAATATAGAGCATAGTATTTAATGTTTCCCTAGAATATAGAGCATAGTATTTAATGTTTCCCTAGAATATAGAGCATAGTACTCAATGTTTCCCTAGAATATAGAGCATAGTACTCAATATTTCCCTAGAATTCATACCATAGTACTCGATATTTCCATAGAATTCAGAACATAGTACTCAATGTTTCCCTAGAACTCAGACCATAGTACTCAATGTTTCCCTAGAATTCAGAACATAGTACTCAATGTTTCCCTAGAATATAGACCATAGTACTCAATGTTTCCCTAGAATTCAGAACATAGTCCTCAATGTTTCCCTTGTATATAGAGAATAGTACTCAATGTTTCCCTAGAATATAGACCATAGTACTCAAAGTTTCCCTAGAATATAGACCATAGTACTCAATGTTTCCCTTGTATATAGAGAATAGTACTCAATGTTTCCCTAGAATATATAGAGCATAGTACTCAATGTTTCCCTAGAATATATAGAGCATAGTACTCAATGTTTCCCTAGAATATATAGAGCATAGTACTCAATGTTTCCCTAGAATATATAGAGCATAGTACTCAATGTTTCCCTAGAACTCAGACCATAGTACTCAATGTTTCCCTAGAATATAGACCATAGTACTCAATGTTTACCTAGAATATATAGAGTATAGTACTCAATGACAGTATTCAGTACTGCCCTAGAAGGTTAGTTGTTTGAGTATGCTTTACAGGACCAACCCCAACAGCCCATGGCTATTGTGTGGTTTTTCTAGGCAAATTTACGTCTAGTAGTTTGCCATTGCTTTTTGGACAGTCTGCTTTCTTGATACCACTGTCGAAACCAACGCAAGGCATATGGCCCGCAGCTGGGATCGAACCCGGCATCCCGTCATAATGAAGCGTTCGCATCGACTTAACCACAGAGCCAACACTGGCCTAGAATGACAACAACAAAACTATCTGCATACAGATCAGAGAATGTATACTCTAACAGACTGCAGCATTTAATGCTACAAATAATATACTGGGCTGAGGTAGAAATGAGCCCAGGCAGCAGCCTTGTCAACATCATTTGGATTTCAAACTGTGGAGGAATTTAAAAGTGTATCATATATAATGTATAATATAAAAACTGATCATCTTCAGTTGTTGGCCCTTGTCTAGAAAGACTAAATCACTAATCCACTACCCTCAGATCAGAGGTAAGTATATTATGTGTATTATTTTATTTGTAAAATATTGATGAACCAGAGGCAGACTATCTTTATGCCCCATGGAAGCACAGGTCCTCACACAGCACACACTCAATATTTGGACAATCTGCTGCAGGTCTCCCTATCATTTTTACCTATTTCTAATTTCCGTGTGTGTGTTTGGGTTTTCCTTCATCTCTTTTGTCTAATATGTTCCAGTTACAGGAAATGATGAGTCATGTGTGTTTTGTCCAGTGCCATCGTCTTTTCCTCAACTCTTGATTCGATGAAATCTTATCTCTCTAAGCTCAACATTGGTGATTCTGTCATACCTTCTACCTAAGCTCAATATCAGTGATTCTGTCATACCTTCTACCTAAGCTCAACATCAGTGATTCTGTCATACCTTCTACCTAAGCTCAACATCAGTGATTCTGTCATACCTTCTACCTAAGCTTAACATCAGTGATTCTGTCATACCTTCTACCTAAGCTCAATATTATTGAATCTGTCATACCTTCTACCTAAGCTCAATATCAGTGATTCTGTCATACCTTCTACCTAAGCTCAATATCAGTGATTCTGTCATACCTTCTACCTAAGCTCAACATCACTGGTTCTGTCATACCTTCTACCTAAGCTCAACATCAGTGATTCTGTCATACCTTCTACCTAAGCTCAACATCAGTGATTCTGTCACACCTTCTAACTAAGCTCACATACCTTCTACCTATGAAAGATAAGTGCACATTCAATGAACTTACCCTTCTGATAGCACTGGATGTATCTTCTACAGTGATGCCAGAAGCAAACCTCTCCATGATACCTTCCAGATTCTGCAAGCAAGAACAAGTATCTTCTCTCAAGTAATCTTATTCCACAACAAAATAGACAAACCAGCACAGTGTGTAGCTCGCTTGCATGCTGGCCCGGTAGTTATGTGTTGGTATCTCTACAGAGGCGAGGAATTCTTTTAAGTAAACTGTGATTCTACATTAACCCATCCTAAATAAGGTATATGGAAATTAAATGGGAAGTAAAGGAGGTAATGAACATATCAGCCATGGTGTACCTACTTGTTTGAAACTACATGGCTACAATAATACAGCCAGCATGACTCATGTCTTCCCTATTCCTCTGCTGTGTCACAGCCTCTGGTTATGCACTTCAGAGGTCAGTCTCAGCCGATGTTTCTGTCATTTTCTGCCAGGTCTAGACAATTACAATCTACCTGTGAGTAGGTTTTCCTTCCTAACATTTCGCCAATCCTTACAATATCCAGCAGCTACGAAATCACCAGCTGAATCTGTTTGTGTCCTTTACAAGAAAGCTTGAAGTCCCCATCCCCCCAGTCCAAGAACCAAGGGGTTATGTGCTGTCAAAAGTCAATGACTCTTGCAGTTATCTAGCTGTATGCTGAAAACTGAATCAAGTTTATTTTAAGCCTTAGGCAAACCTTGAAACCTCTCTCACTCCTCACCAGCTTGAAGATGACACAGCTCTTAGTAATCAAAGCTTTTGAGAGGTGAATACATGTATCATTAGAAATTAATCTAGCCAAGTATAGCAAACAAGAGATGAATGAAATAATGAGGTAACAGTTATTCATTCAAACAAGTAAAGAAGTAATAGCTAGTCAATCAAATAGATGAAGTTATTCAATCAAACAGGTGAAGTTATTCAATCAAACTGGTGAAGTTATTCAACCAAACAGGTATAACATAAGAGAAGTCATGTGACTTACAGAGTTTGGCATGTTTGAAGCTGGCACAATGGCAGCCAGGCAGTTGACCAGGTTTTTCATGTGTTGAGGTTTAAACAGCAAGGGCCCAGCAATTTCTCCAAACATCTGATAGCATACAATACAAAAACAACTGCATAGATGCTTTTACATTTGGCAATTGTTGAAAATGTCATATTTTTTTAGCTAAATCTGAAGTCAAGAAAAAATTATGCTAAGTCTTTGCAATTAAAAGCCTAATTATGTGTCTATAAATTACTTGTGAACAGAAGCTACATCCTGGCATCCAGGATATGCCCAGAAGTGATCCATTTTGTCACAGTTGCACTCTCGTTAGACATGTTGTAGCATTAGTTCCTGCAAAGTATTTTCTTTTTTTGTGTGTGTCTGTGACTGTCTCATTTCATGTAGTATCCATATACATACATATGGTATGTAGTATCCGTATACATACAGATAATATGAAGTATCCATATACATACACATGGTATGTAGTATCCATATACATACAGATAGTATGAAGTATCCATATACATACAGACAATATGTAGTATCCACATACATACACATAGTATGTAGTATCCATATACATACACATAGTATGTAGTATCCATATACATATACAAAGTATGTAGTATCCATATACATACACATAGTATGTAGTATCCATATACATATACAAAGTATGTAGTATCCATAAACATATACATAGTATGTAGTATCCATATACATACACACAGTATGTAGTATCCATATACATACACACAGTATGTAGTATCCATATACATACACACAGTATGTAGTATCCATATACATACACACAGTATGTAGTATCCATATACATACACATAGTATGTAGTATCCATATACATACACATAGTATGTAGTATCAATAAACATACACACAGTATGTAGTATCCATATACATACACACAGTATGTAGTATCCATATACATACACACAGTATGTAGTTTCCATATACATATACATAGTATGTAGTATCCATATACATACACATAGTATGTAGTATCCATATACATACACACAGTATGTAGTATCCATATACATACACATAGTATGTAGTATCCATATACATACACACAGTATGTAGTATCCATATACATATACATAGTATGTAGTATCCATATACATACACATAGTATGTAGTATCCATATACATATACATAGTATGTAGTATCCATATACATATACATAGTATGTAGTATCCATTTACATACACATAGTATGTAGTATCCATATACATACACATAGTATGTAGTATCCATATACATACACACAGTATGTAGTATCCATATACATACACATAGTATGTAGTATCCATATACATACACATAGTATGTAGTATCCATATACATACACACAGTATGTAGTATCCATATACATACACATAGTATGTAGTTTCCATATACATACACATAGTATGTAGTATCCATATATATACACATAGTATGTAGTATCCATATACATACACATAGTATGTAGTTTCCATATACATGAGTATTTTAGTGACTGCCTCTGCAAGAAGAACTGTCCACTTTCTGAAAGCATGGACTGACGTTTGTTCTGTGTCACTGAACCTGTGATCTGGGAGTGGATTCAAGACTGTCACAGACATCTCTTGTACAGTGTCACTAAACCTATGATCTGGGAGTGGATTCAAGACTGTCACAGACATCTCTGGTACTGTGTCACTAAACCTGTGATCTGGGAGTGGATTCAAGACTGTCACAGACATCTTGTGTGCTGTGTCACTAAACCTGTGATCTGGGAGTGGATTCAAGACTGTCACAGACATCTCTTGTACTGTGTCACTAAACCTGTGATCTGGGAGTGGATTCAAGACTGTCACAGACATCTTGTGTGCTGTGTCACTAAACCTGTGATCTGGGAGTGGATTCAAGACTGTCACAGACATCTTGTGTGCTGTGTCACTAAACCTGTGATCTGGGAGTGGATTCAAGACTGTCACAGACATCTCTTGCACTGTGTCACTGCTGTGATCTGGGAGTGGATTCAAGACTGTCACAGACATCTCTTGTACTGTGTCACTGCTGTGATCTGGGAGTGGATTCAAGACTGTCGCAGACATCTCTTGTACTGTGTCACTAAACCTGTGATCTGGGAGTGGATTCAAGACTGTCACAGACATCTCTTGCACTGTGTCACTGCTGTGATCTGGGAGTGGATTCAAGACTGTTACAGACATCTCTTGTACTGTGTCACTGCTGTGATCTGGGAGTGGATTCAAGACTGTCGCAGACATCTCTTGTACTGTGTCACTAAACCTGTGATCTGGGAGTGGATTCAAGACTGTCACAGACATCTCTTGTACTGTGTCACTAAACCTGTGATCTAGGAGTGGATTCAAGACTGTCGCAGACATCTCTTGTACTGTGCAAGACTGTCACAGACATCTCTTGTACTGTGTCACTGCTGGGATCTAGGAGTGGATTCAAGACTGTCACAGACATCTCTTGTACTGAGTCACTGCTGTGATCTAGGAGTGGATTCAAGACTGTCACAGACATCTCTTGTACTGTGTCACTAAACCTGTGATCTAGGAGTGGATTCAAGACTGTCGCAGACATCTCTTGTACTGTGCAAGACTGTCACAGACATCTCTTGTACTGTGTCACTGCTGGGATCTAGGAGTGGATTCAAGACTGTCACAGACATCTCTTGTACTGTGTCACTGCTGTGATCTAGGAGTGGATTCAAGACTGTCACAGACATCTCTTGTACTGTGTCACTAAACCTGTGATCTAGGAGTGGATTCAAGACTGTCGCAGACATCTCTTGTACTATGCAAGACTGTCACAGACATCTCTTGTACTGTGTCACTGCTGGGATCTGGAAGTGGATTCAAGACTGTCACAGACATCTCTTGTACTGTTTTATTATTTCCACCAGCTCGTGAGCTTCAAATTTATTTCTAAGTCAGCCATAACAAGGCAAGTACATTCAGTGTTCAAATCCTTATTGAAGTGAATTTACATGAGTTTCAAAGTGATCCCAGCCTAAGCCACAGTACCAGGAAATGCTCTGGGAAGTAAAGGTGGCCAAACTATTGACCAAATCAGCCATCAAGTGCAAACTGTTCTCCCAGCACTAAATACCAGAGGGGTGCCATAGTGACAGAGTGGCCAGAGTTTCATCCATGGCAAGTCAAATATTGGCTGGTTGACTGACCCTTGGGTACCAGGAAATGTCCTGAGAAATAAAGGTGTCTGGTGTGATAATGACCACATCAAGTGTACTAGCTAGACTTGTATCACACATCAAATGCACTTTCAGACATGCAAACAGGCTCTTGACCTCTCAGTAAAAAAAATTTACTTTATGTGTTTTTGCACACTACTTCCTCCCACAGTCTTCCTCTCTATTTCCCCCTCTCTAGGTGCATGTATGTGTGCATGGGTACAAACATAACACCCACCCACACCTAGACTTCATATTATTTTAGTATGTCATTCCAATTATGTTTAACATATCATTTTTTTAAGTATTGTGTATTTTTTCCATTAGGTTTCATATGTAATTTCCATTATGTTTCATTCATATTTTATATCATACACCAAAGCTGAGAACTGAAAACCTGTCAAGTCTTCGCACATGAAACACAAAGTAAAAAGCAGCAAAGAAACAATCCCATACAACGTAGAAACAAGCAAAGAAACAACCCCATACAACGTAGAAACAAGCAAAGAAACAATCCCATAAAACATAGAAACAAGCAAAGAAACAATCCCATAAAACGTAGAAACAAGCCCATACAATGTAGAAACAATCAAAGAAACAATCCCATAAACATAGAAACAAGCAAAGAAACAATCCGATACAACGTAGAAACAAGCAAGGAAACAATCCCATTCAACAAAGAAACAAGCAAAGAAACAATCCCATGAAACGTAGAACCAAGCACATACTACGTAGAAACAAGCAAAGAAACAATCCCATACAATGTAGAAACAAGCAAAGAAACAATCCTATAAAATGTAGAAACAAGCAAAGAAACAATCCCATACAACGTAGAAACAAGCAAAGAAACAATCCTATACAACGTAGAAACAAGCAAAGAAACAATCCTATACAACGTAGAAACAAGCAAAGAAACAATCTCATACAATGTAGAAACAAGCAAAGAAACAATCCTATAAAACGTAGAAACAAGCAAAGAAACAATCCTATACAACGTAGAAACAAGCAAAGAAACAATCTGATACAATGTAGAAACAAGCAAAGAAACAATCTCATACAATGTAGAAACAAGCAAAGAAACAATCCTATACAATGTAGAAACAAGCAAAGAAACAATCCCATACAACGTAGAAACAATCTGATACAATGTAGAAACAAGCAAAGAAACAATCCCATAAAACATAGAAACAAGCAAAGAAACAATCCTATACAATGTAGAAACAAGCAAAGAAACAATCTGATACAATGTAGAAACAAGCAAAGAAACAATTCCATAAAACATAGAAACAAGCAAAGAAACAATCCTATACAATGTAGAAACAAGCAAAGAAACAATCTCATACAACTTAGAAACAGGCAAAGAAACAATCTGATACAATGTAGAAACAAGCAAAGAAACAATCTGATACAATGTAGAAACAAGCAAAGAAACAATTCCCATACAACGTAGAAGCAATCAAAGTAACGATCCCATACAAAATAGAAACAAGCAAAGAAACAATCTCATAAAACCTAGAAACAAGCAAAGAAACAATCCCATACAACGTAGAAACAAGCAGAAAAACTTACCACACAGGCCTTTGCCAGGTGATCAGTCTCATCAGACTCGTTGGAGTGCAGATGTGGATCCGGCAGATAGAAGTCCTTGTAGAATGTCTCCAAGAAAGGCAGCACTCCCTCCAGAATGTACAGAACTGTTCCATAGGTGGAGCTCTCAAAGTCTGGGGCACTAGAGGACCCACTGCAGGCAGACAAGACACCAGGTGCATGTGTAATAAATACTGCTGGCTTTAGATAAACTGAATCAGAGCTTCCTGAGGGTGGGGAGCAGTTCAACTGTTGCCAGAGCTAAGAGTAGGGATCTACATACATTCTGGTTTCCTAAAGGTAATGATCTGAAAGACTAACTAGATCTTGCATTATTTTGAAAAGGAAAAAAAAAGGGTTATTTAATTTAAATATTTAATAAAATGACACAATATTTATTTACACATGCATAAATGTTCTCTCTCACACAAGTTCAGTCAATCATATGTCTTCACAGACATGCACACATGCTCATAGACACGTGCATGCACATACACATTACAACATAACAGCACCTAGAAAAGATTCATGGATCTCTTCTGTCCTTCTTCCTGACATTCATCACAACAAGGAAACTGCACACAGTGTGATACGTTCTGCTGGAGATTGCCACCTACAGACATTCATCACAACAAGGAGACTACACACAGTGTGATACTTTCTGCTGGAGATTGCCACCTACAGACATTCATCACAACATGGAGACTGCACACAGTGTGATACGTTCTGCTGGAGATTGCCACCTACAGACATTCATCACAACAAGGAGACTGCACACAGTGTGATACTTTCTGCTGGAGATTGCCACCTACAGACATTCATCACAACATGGAGACTGCACACAGTGTGATACTTTGTGCTGGAGATTGCCACCTACAGACTTTTATCACAACAAGAAGACTGCACACAGTGTGATACTTTCTGCTGGAGATTGACACCTACAGACATTCATCACAACAAGAAGACTGCACACAGTGTGATACGTTCTGCTGGAGATTGCCACCTACAGACATTCATCACAACATGGGGACTGCACACAGTGTGATACTTTCTGCTGGAGATTGCCACCTACAGACATTCATCACAACAAGGAAACTGCAAACACAGTGTGATACTTTCTGCTGGAGATTGCCACCTACAGACATTCATCACAACATGGAGATTGCACACAGTGTGATACTTTCTGCTGGAGATTGCCACCTACAGACATTCATCACAACATGGAAACTGCACACAGTGTGATACTTTGTGCTGGAGATTGCCACCTACAGACATTCATCACAACATGGAGACTGCACACAGTGTGATACTTTGTGCTGGAGATTGCCACCTACAGACATTCATCACAACATGGGGACTGCACACAGTGTGATACTTTGTGCTGGAGATTGCCACCTACAGACATTCATCACAACATGGAAACTGCACACAGTGTGATACTTTGTGCTGGAGATTGCCACCTACAGACATTCATCACAACATGGGGACTGCACACAGTGTGATACTTTCTGCTGGAGGTTGCCTCCTACACAAAATCATGATCTCCAATGCTAGTGGGCAAAGTTCAGGAGGATGACTACAAAGCTTTAGTTGCTCTTTAAAAAAACAGTTGAGGGCCGATGGTCAGCTGCACTGTACAGGTGGACAACACATTCTGAGACCTCAACCTGTTCTCACAGGCAATGTGTGGGCAACACATTCTGAGACCTCAACCTGTTCTCACAGGCAATGTGTGGGCAACACATTCTGAGACCTCAACCTGTTCTCACAGGCAATGTGTGGGCAACACATTCTGAGACCTCAACATGTTCTCACAGGCAATGTGTGGGCAACACATTCTGAGACCTCAACCTGTTCTCACAGGCAATGTGTGGGCAACACATTCTGAGACCTCAACCTGTTCTCACAGGCAATGTGTGGGCAACACATTCTGAGACCTCAACCTGTTCTCACAGGCAATGTGTGGGCAACACATTCTGAGACCTCAAACATGTTCTCACAGGCAATGTGTGGGCAACACATTCCGAGACCTCAACCTGTTCTCACAGGCAATGTGTGGGCAACACATTCTGAGACCTCAACCTGTTTCTCACAGGCAATGTGTGGGCAACACATTCTGAGACCTCAACATGTTCTCACAGGCAATGTGTGGGCAACACATTCTGAGACCTCAAAACCTGTTCTCACAGGCAATGTGTGGGCAACACATTCTGAGACCTCAACCTGTTCTCACAGGCAATGTGTGGGCAACACATTCTGAGACCTCAACATGTTCTCACAGGCAATGTGTGGGCAACACATTCCGAGACCTCAACCTGTTCTCACAGGGCAATGTGTGGGGCAACACATTCTGAGACCTCAACCTGTTCTCACAGGCAATGTGTGGGCAACACATTCTGAGACCTCAACATGTTCTCACAGGCAATGTGTGGGCAACACATTCTGAGACCTCAACCTGTTCTCACAGGCAATGTGTGGGCAACACATTCTGAGACCTCAACCTGTTCTCACAGGCAATGTGTGGGCAACACATTCTGAGACCTCAACCTGTTCTCACAGGCAATGTGTGGGCAACACATTCTGAGATCTCAACATGTTCTCACAGGCAATGTGTGGGCAACACATTCTGAGACCTCAACCTGTTCTCACAGGCAATGTGTGGGCAACACATTCTGAGACCTCAACATGTTCTCACAGGCAATGTGTGGGCAACACATTCTTAGACCTCAACCTGTTCTCACAGGCAATGTGTGGGCAACACATTCTGAGACCTCAACCTGTTCTCACAGGCAATGTGTGGGCAACACATTCTGAGACCTCAACCTGTTCTCACAGGCAATGTGTGGGCAACACATTCTCAGACCTCAACATGTTCTCACAGGCAATGTGTGGGCAACACATTCTGAGACCTCAACCTGTTCTCACAGGCAATGTGTGGGCAAACACATTCTGAGACCTCAACCTGTTCTCACAGGCAATGTGTGGGGCAACACATTCTGAGACCTCAACCTGTTCTCACAGGCAATGTGTGGGCAACACATTCTGAGACCTCAACCTGTTCTCACAGGCAATGTGTGGGAAACACATTCTGAGACCTCAACCTGTTCTCACAGGCAATGTGTGGGCAACACATTCTGAGACCTCAACATGTTCTCACAGGCAATGTGTGGGCAACACATTCTGAGACCTCAACATGTTCTCACAGGCAATGTGTAAAGTACAGTTTCTGCATGTACACCATCACTGTTAGAGACTACTCAATCTCTCATGCAATCTTGTTTAGAGTCTAGTTCTTGGAAAGCTTCAAATTGATAGATACCTTCCCACGTCCTATTGTCAGTCCAACATACCCTGACAATCACCTGCTGGAGTGAGCAGCTCTAACAGATACCAGGCAATGATCACACATTTAAAAAAACAGTGTGCTTCTCAAGGTAGGATGTCCACTCATGGCTTGAGCACACCAGGGTTGATTCACAGGGTAGACATGTTTGACTCACCAGCTAGACAGGACTGATTCTTAAGGCAGACAGAACTGACTGACAAGGTCAACAGAATAGATTCACAAAGCAGACAGGACTGACTGACAAGGTCAACAGAATAGATTCACAAAGCAGCCAGGACTGACTGACAAGGTCAACAGAATAGATTCACAAAGCAGACAGGACTGACTGACAAGGTCAACAGAATAGATTCACAAAGCAGACAGGACTGACTGACAAGGTCAACAGAATAGATTCACAAAGCAGACACGACTGACTGACAAGGTCAACAGAATAGATTCACAAAGCAGACAGGACTGACTGACAAGGTCAACAGAATAGATTCACAAAGCAGCCAGGACTGACTGACAACAAGGTCAACAGAATAGATTCACAAAGCAGACAGGATTATTTCCAAAACAGCAGTGTAAACGCCTCCATGATGGACAGATACAGCAGCACTCATACTGAAGACCATATATGAATGAACACTGATAGAATCATATGTGTAAGGATGTATGAATCTAGAATGACATGAGGATCCAGCCAGAAAGGACACATGAGGGGAGGAGTACAACATGCATGTGCTACTGGGACAGTCAGCATCTACATACTGAGACATCTGCTGATGCAGACAGAATATCTGTGGGTATGCTATTACACCATTCTTCAATCAGTAGTCAGCATCTACACGCTGAGACATCTTCTGATGCAGACAGAACATCTGTGGGTTTGCTATTACACCATTCTTCAATCAGTAGTCAGCATCTACACGCTGAGACATCTGCTGATGCAGACAGAACATCTGTGGGTATGCTATTACACCATTCTTCAATCAGTAACTTCAGAGGAAGGAGAAAGCTTCAAAAGCCTGAGTACGTTTGTTACAGTGCTTTGTTCTCGACCCTGGTACCATACCATGCAATGTATGATCTGTACTATCAACTGTACTACTACAGGCATTCATATATTAGACAAGGATGGTCTCACAGAGAGCTGCCTACGAGCAGCCACTGACCTTTTCTCTGGTGCAGTTTTCAAGTGGATGCCCAGTTTTTCCGGATCATCCCTGATGCTGTCGGTTAGTCGGTTGATCTCGATAGACAGGGAGGACAGGTACTCCCACAGCTCTCTGGATTGTAAAGGATTCAAACAAACAGATGGACAAATATATGCATAAATCAGAGATAAAAGATAAGTAATGACATCATCATTGTTCTATAACATACCTTGGTGGCTGGTCTAGGTAACCATGTCACCCCACAACATTCAATAATGTCATGTATCAGAATGTGTATTGATACCCTTTGTATTTGTGGGTTACTGATGAAATGTTTTAAATTTGAACACTACAAACTATACAAGTGTAGAAACAAATGTTTTAAATTTGAACACTACAAACTATACAAGTGTAGAAACAAATGTTTTAAATTTGAACACTACAAACTATACAAGTGTAGAAACAAATGTTTTAAATTTGAACACTACAAACTATACAAGTGTAGAAACAAATGTTTTAAATTTGAACACTACAAACTATACAAGTGTAGAAACAAATGTTTTAAATTTGAACACTACAAACTATACAAGTGTAGAAACAAAATGTTTTTTAATTTGAACACTACAAACTATACAAGTGTAGAAAACAAATGTTTTTAAATTTGAACACTAC